CACAGAACAGAAAGATAAAGTATATAAGTAGAAGCTTTTGACTTTACCTGTAACTTTTGGGTTATTCGGCTTCACAACAGTCACGTAACAGACCAACAAGTCCTGTATATTTGAAAGAGTGAGGAGGATGTTGCTACAGAAGTAGCACCTGAAGCTTAGGCAGTAGTTCGAGACAGCGGGAATTACCTCACACAGGCTCGGTGAAGAAGAAATGGTTGGATAAAATTCGCCGGATAGAAAGATCAGGTTTCCCAAACGAATTATTCACAAAAGTGAATATTTCCTGTTAGAGAGGAAAACGCACGTCGTTAATTGGGAGTGAAAAGTAAATTGGTAGTTGCGATCACATAGACCTCCAAACGAAGACTGAAGTATGGCTGGGCTGCTTTGATGCAATTTTCATCGACATTGAATTATCACTTAAATATATCAATTTGCCTGATTTTTGCGTCGCTGGTCAAGACCTTATTTGATCAGCCTCATATTCCAAGCAATCTGCATCTTGAATTTCTAAACCAAGAAAGTTCTTAATAAACATACTCAGAAACTCCGTTGTGGGTAAAATTTATTTTGATAAAGTCTCACAGTGTTACTGATGACGTTTTGAGCACAATTTATTGCGGCTCATAATCATATCAAGTTATTCACACAACTGTCTAACTTTGATTATATAGTTCCATCGTTTGATTTGATTGGTAGTAGTATTTTCCATATTTCTGGTATGAGTCATTCCTATTGCACGTGTTGGGAACAAAGTTCTAGTGAGATAAAAGTGCTCGAGAAAGGACTAAATTTCAAAGTAACAGTTAGTAAACTAAAACGAGAGGATGTCATTCCTAACATAGAAGTAGCGTTAAGTCCAATAGATATAAGACGACAGCAGAAGAGGTTCAAGCACAATGTGCACTAACCTGAAAAATCAAAAGACAGGACAAACAAACCTAACAAAGCTCTAATTAATCTAAACAGGATAAAAACATTGTGATCACAAAGGCTGACAAGGGGAACTCGACGGTAGTTATGGATAAATCTGACTCTATCAAGAAAGTCACTGAACACATTGCAACGGGTCCATAAGAGGAAATTAAAAAGCCTGTAGATACAATAATGAACAAGATTAAGAAATCTACAGTGGATTTAATACGCAGAATGAAGCCATCACTGGGTGAATCTAAATGGTTTAATTTAATGCCTAAAACTAATAATGCTAGTAGTATATATGGTACTATTAAAATACATAAGCCAGGATAGCCCATGCGACCAATAGAAGATTTCAGAAATACCCCTATTTATGAATTATCAAAACTTGTGGCTCTAATATTATGTCCCATTAGAAATCGTTCAAACCTTAGACCAAATAATTCATATGAGTTGAAGAAAAACCTGTAGCGGTAATAATTCCGTAAAATTATTGGCCACAGCATTCATCACAGGATATTGGATGCTGACCCTCACTGTTTAAGTAGACTTGTTCAGCTGAAGGCCTCCGGTCAAGCATTCATGCCATTTGGTACTACGTCGTGTCACGTTCGTTCATGCACTATCCCTAGCTAGCTAAGCAATCATCCCTCACTCCGATTTGGTCCCGAAATATATCTCGTAATTTAGACGATCAACTCTGGAGTTTTGCTTTGCCTTTGGTCTACGCGGAACGAATACTACAGAAGTTGTGTGTATTAGATCTTGCGTTAGTGTACTTCGTACTATCCATGAACATTAGTACCGTCAGCCTCTAAAAACTAAATGACATTCAACTAGAGAATGATGAAACAATGGTTAGTTTTGACATAACTAGTGTTTATACTAATATACCAATCAATATGGCCTTAGAAGCAGTTATAAGAGAACTAACGGCTGATCCCGAACTTAGTCATAGTATGGTGGTGTGATACAGACAATGTGTTCCAACGGAATATTATTCTCACACATTTACAAAGTTCAATTCGGCATTAGCAACAGAATACTATGTATATTTGAACATTCTGTTTCATGTCGTATCATCAAAACCAAGATCACACGCTTAGTAATTGGTTAAAGAATATAAACTGTATAGAAATAAATAGCGGTTTGATCAGTTGAAAACATAACTTGGCTTACAAGTCTTGCCTTATGTTGCTACAATAGGACAGAGCTGCCCATTGAGAAAATTATTTCATATCTACTATCTTTAAATTCCAAGGCAAATATATAGACAAACAGAAGGTGTAGCAATGGGATCATTAAATCCCCTATCGTAGCAGATATCTTTATGGACAGTTGGGGAAATGTTGCTTTTAATACGTTTAATCCTATTCCAAAAATATGGTGAAGATATGTGGATGGCACTTTTACAGTGTTAAAAACAGGACATATCTCTAGCTTCTTGACAAATATAAACTCACTAGTGGAGGGAATAAAATTCACATTTGAATCGGAAAATGAACAACGAGAATTAGCTTGTTAGATTGTAAAATAAAACGAACAGAAGAAGGTAGACTGCACACTAGCGTCTATAAAAAACCAAACGCATTCTAATAGATATTTAGACTTTAATTCATCTCATCCGTTAACTTTAGGCTTAGTTAAGTGTCTAACAAACTGAGCAATAGCACTAAGTAGTACATCAAAAAACCTAAATGGTGAAATGAAACAGATGGAAGAAGCGTTGGTGTTAACTATCCTATAAAATTCATTGGGAGGATCCAAAAAGGTCAAAAGCGAAATAAAAGTAATGGTGAAACTAATAATGTTAACATAAATAAGAGAGAAAATAAGGCACCTACAGTTTCACCATATAAGGAGGGGACATCTGTAACCCTACGTAGGATTCCTAATAAATCAGGAATTCAAACCTACAAACTCACTCAGAGACAAGCTCCATAGGTTAAAGGACCTAGTTGACCTAATTAGACAAAATAATATAATTTACAATGACTGTGAGGTCAACTACATAAGTCATACTAGTAGGTCGAGGTTATTCAGATTGTCGGAACATAAGAATTTAGCTAAGGTTAGAATGATTGATCCCTCAAAGATAAGTAATTTAGGAAGAAGCTCAGTAATCGCAATTCATGGATTAACACAACCACACAATAGGGTGGGAGAGGGTTACAATTCTAAGAAGTAATTTAGGTAGGTGGAGAGGGAGGTTGATTACTGAATCCTTGTTCATAGACTCTATATCCAACACGTGCAATAGGAATGACTCGAGATATATCTCGCAATTTAATGGAACAGCTCTGGCGTTTTGCTTTGCTTTTGGTCTACGCGGAAAGAATGATATAGAAGTTGTGGGTATTAGATCGTGCGTTAGCATACTCCGTACAATCCGCCAACTACAATACTCTCAGGCTCTAAACTCTTTAGGATCCATCATGATGCTGATGCAAGTAATTTCTGAAGATATCGTACATACTTATAAGTTACGTTCATTAATTCAGGGATTTTGAAATTTCTCACCTGATAGCATCTAAAAGTTATTTTCGTTATTAAAAGATTTGCCAGTATACTGAACTTACTTCGAGCTTAAGCATGCAGCCTGTGGATCAAGCTTAAAGACGTCCTAATAATCTAGGAAAGAATAAATGTATGCGTATGTGTAAACATGTGTATGTCTTCCTCCACAACGGGGAAAATCCTTTGTTCCGCATTAAATACTCAAGAACCCCGATGCTATTAAACGGTGAGATTCCTATAACTATTGCTCTAACATCGAACTTCTATACAGTATGTTCAGGTATCTCAAAACACTAATATAGGCTCAAGCGCTACTTTAGCACGTCTATATTAACTCTAACTGTACTCTTCTAAAACTAGCTTTACATATGATCGTTCAGTATTAGCCATTGAATTACTGAACGTTGATTTTCGTTTGGCGCAGTTTCACACGACTAAGTTCGCCTCGCGCTCTTAAAAATTCGAATTCATTAACAATATATCTTTTCGAGTTTTCGCTTATGTCCTTTGGCACAACGTTGTTTGAAATTTAGTCGCTTACAGCGCTGGCACATCTTAGAACTTGAAAACGTGGATGCGCTATAATATCATGTTTGGAACCATATTTAGTACTCTATAAATTATTAAGCTTACCTATCAAAACACTTGCCGGATTGTCAACATCCTAACCCTCACGCGTCTATACGTATAACATATTCTTAACTCATTTCATTGTTCCTTCTAAACGCGTAACCTGCATTATCATTATTTGTTTAATCCTTTAGTGTATTCATTTTGTATATATCTCGCTAATTTTTATTTTTAAACCAATTTTTTCATCACTTGTAATATGTCTCCCTCTACCTCTGATTACTGCGAGCCGGGATCCGTTGTACTATTACCTTTACTGAGTCGATTCTTAAATCCAGAGACCCCATTTTTGGTTCACTCAACTGGAACACTATTTCACTGCCAATAAGTTCGCTTCACAGTACGCTTAATTTTGTGTACTGTACTACCAGAAAAAGTCACCGAGCAAGTACACTAGTAAATGTTTCATCCCACTACGGAATTCCCCTACAATAAATTAAAAGAAGAAATCCTACGATGCACGTCACTCTCCGATAGAAAAGCACCGGACCATTTGTTAAGTAACTTTGGATTAGGTGATAAAACGCCGTCCCAACTCACGCGGTACACTCAGAAGCTTATATGCACCACCATTCAAATAGTTTATAATTCCCTGAATCCTTGTTTAATACATGTCTAAACCAAGTTCACTCTTAACGGTTTGAAAAAATTAGACATTGGGCATATGATATTCATTATAGTGAAGGTTTTTTGTATTTCACAATGAGTGAAGAACAAAACGACATTGTTTTTACTGACATTTCACTGTTTAATGCTAGTAGCTTTATCGAAGTATTATTAAACTAGAATTTACAAAATCTCAGCTTATATTGGTAATAAGCAATGCATTTTGCTGAAAATCAACTAAACTAAACAATTTGTTGTTATACACACTTATTTGTTTGTATCTATCGATTTGACGACCTTAAGAGGTACATAGTTACTTAGAGTCCTACAATATTTTGAAAGTTGATAATATGACCAGAGAGGTGATTCATCCGAAAGTTCGCATAATCAGTATTAATTTACTGCGGATTCTCAATACAGTAATAAAATCTGCTCGAGTATCAAGCATTTAGGTAAAAGGAGGTGATGGGAATAAATACTCTGCCAAGCTTGAACATGGAGATTTCTTTAGTGGTGAATCTCAGAAAGTAGAGCATGATGAGAACAATATATTGCCTTTCGATCATACCTTTAAGTATGATTTTCATTTAAAGGATGCGAAGTCGATAGAATCCTTGTGTTCCCAGCCTTTTGTAGGTAAATCTCCGCTTCCCTGCTTTTTAGGTAAATAGTAACTCTTTTCGAGCACAAACCAAAGGACAAGAAACAAAAGGAAGCTAAAAGTGAATTGATAGGTCAGGCTATGTTTGATGGTATGCCGCTGGTGAGAAATTCATGCAAATACGAACTGACTGTGAAATTACTAAGTCCTTCTTCCTTGATGATTTCAGCTGAGCTTGTATGAAATACCCTCTTTAGTAAATTTTAAACTTTTCAGCCGACAGCCGAAATCACAGTCTCCATCGACCAACCACTACTGACAGACGAATTTTTGGAACAGCTGAATATACTTTACGTAAATATAGAATCTATGCAGAATGTTCCAGAAACTTTCCACTCAAAGGATCATTTTAACTTTGTCGCTACGCTACCAATGCTTACTTTGGCTGAAGTGAGTTTCTGGACACTTATATGTACTTTTTCAGAATGAAGAAATGCCTATAATATCAAATAAAGGAACTGTTAGGTCTCCATCTGATTCGGAATATGCTGACACTTCACTCAGATGGCCAGAAATCACAACTGCGCGTACTTTTGCAAATATAATGCAAATTGAGTAAGTGATGATGGTTTATTTTAATAAGTTAACAGTCCTTCCGAAGACATACTTCTGTCTTCCAAGAAAGAAGATGGAGATTTTCCATTGTCACAATACCCAACTTTTCGCAATTCTGCCAATTCTTTCAAAAACAAGGTCATTTGGAACCATCAACATAGGCGTTTGTTGAACGAGACATGTGAATCGAAGCAAGTCTGCCTAACAACTAAAATTACTTGTTATTTTAGATTAAAAGAAAGGATATCATTGTCAAAAGTTTGGCCAGTAGAAGTGTTTTGTATACAGGGTAGCTCATCCGGAAGGAAAAAGAAAGTAACAAATGACATTTCAGAATATTTAATTATTTGAAAAAATAGGACGAAGAGATGGGTTACAGTCATCACGGTGTGGCTTATGTTGATTTTACACCTCTCCTATATCCAGGTGGTAAGATAAAATCATATTTTTTGAACAAGATAAATTAATCTTAAACTGTATTTATTAACAAATTGACTTTTATCTTTATGGAAAACCCATATTGCGTCTGCATACTATTTATGCTTGTCACAGAGTTTGTCAGATGCAAGAATTTTAACATATGATCTAACTTTACTGTTGTAATACATAATTCCCTCTTAGCCCCTAAAAAGTTTAATCCTCAGTTTATAAGCTGACAATAATGAAAATTTGCGTCTGTAATAAGAAGTATTTTTAATGTCCGTAGTCTGCTCCGAATTTAGCGGTATTAGTGAAAAATCCTTCACCTTTTGATAATCCTGAATTTATTCAACCTGCAGTTCACATCCATTCGGTTTTTATTCTGTCATTTCCATTTGGCTTCTTTCCTATTTTTCTACGTATGTGACAAATATGACAACCTGATTCTAAATACTTTAATGAAAGACCCTAATCTTTGCTGCAATATCAAAACAGGAACTTTGATAGTGCATTAAACCTTGATAAAGAGTTAACGCAAACTAAGATAATAAACAATAGTCACTTAATCAGTCTTATACTTAAGTTTTCATGAAACCCCTTAGAAAATTATGAAACTTCTGCTGTAACTCAAAGGGCTAAAATAAATTTTGCATCAAGCTTTCCTAGTTTTGCTCATATTTAGGCATAAGTGAATAAGTGACAATTCTGGTGAGTTTTTCACTGATATTTGCTCCTAACCAATATTTTAAAGGAAAAAGGTGCAACGAATTTTTGGGATGCTCATTTAGGGTTGCACCTTTTGGATAAATTAAATTTTTTTAATGAATTAAGCTGAAATATTCTAGCTCTGTCTGCTTAAAACCAACTTTTATTTCTTTTAATTCCACCTTCACTATTACACTTCTAGTGACTTATTTCCGAGGAGCATACAAGATACATCCCTTCAATCTAAAAGAATATGAAGAAAAGGTGAGCCTATAGATTGGACCACAAAATCTATTACATTTCAATATCTTTTGCCCATGCAAGTTAAAATAATCAGGTTGCCTGTGATCCAGATATTTATTTATATGCAAAGTCTGATTAATATATGATCTGAAGATTAATCCGGCGACTTTAAATGGCATAAATTATAACATCTATATTTATGATGGGAAGATGTTGAAAATGAGTGTTTTTACAGCCAAATGACTATTGAAATTACCATATATGAGTAAAAATAGTTGTGTTGTGGTACAAAAAGTAAGGTGTCTAAGAAATATACCATGGAACTGGATTTACACTTGAATGATTGAAGTCTGAAAGGTTTAACTTTCTCAAATTTTCTTTAATAAATATACATTTAAATATCAACCAATGTACACCAAGTGTAACTTATGTAATACCTGGACTCATCACTTGCCAATTAAATGTTTCATAATGGGAGACTAGCTTTTTGGCCTTACATATTTTCTTACCGAATTACCTGTCAGTTACAGTTGGTTTTCTGTAGGGTTTTTCAAAAAGTCAACCGTCAATTTATTGCGCAATAATTATATGGGGTAAATGATTTGATTTACGGATGCATTTTCCAATGAATACTGATGCTTATTCATTGTATTTTAATTTCACAAATTTTTCAGGTTTATATCCATATACGATGAATGTTTAAAATATTTTTTTGTTAAATACTGTATTTCTTGTGGTTTCCGAATTAGAAACTATTTATTGCGTAATGTTCAAGAGTATATATACCATAAGTCTTTAGTATTCTTTCCAGGAAAAGCTATGGAAAGGAAAACTTCATCTGTTGACAACAGTAATACACTTACTGACAAAAGATTCCTATCAATCTTAAAATTGTCTGCTCGCGTAATAGTTCAACGTGTCGGATTTCTCATGTATTAAACTGAAATATTAAAAACAACTTAGTGTAAAAACAAGATGGAGTAAAAGGCTAGTTGAGAAAGCACTCATCACATTTGGCCTGAAGTGTTTCAACAATCCGGCATATTATTTGATGTGTTTCCGTAAGATAAGGGAATGGAAAATAACATTTGTACATAGAAGTAACTTTAAAACTAAAAGGCAAATCACATCAAATAGGCTGAAAATTATCGCTATCATTAAAGAAAAAACTGTTTCCTTTGGGGTTATGCCAATGCTTTATAAACCTAATTCGTCTATAAATGAGATTACTTTCACAATCCATAATAAATGGTAAACATGGAAATAGGTTGGTATAGACTGCTCTAGAGAAAGACACTTGCAAAACAGTGTGCTCAAAAAATTCAAGAAACAGTTGCTAATTTAAGCCCAATCAGTTGTAAATGATGAGCTAACAAATCTCCTAATCCTTCAACGATCAAATATTTCATCAAAAATAAAATGAACACAAGAAAATTATTAGATGTGATTAATAATGCTTGCTACAATAGAGGTGTCTGTTTTTTCCCAGTGGTTAAGTGTCTGGCTGTCTGTTTTTTGAAACAATAAGTTCTAAACTTTCTGTAAGTGATCCTCGGCTACCACTTTCAGTCGTATGCACTAATCCTTTCGGAATAATTGGAGTTATGTAAAGAAATGGGAAGGATCATACATATTACATTGTTATAATATGGCATACTATTTGACTTGAAAAAACGTGGTATCATTTTAATGTTTTACTTTGACCCAACATTTATTTTAGACTAAACGACAGAATAACGTGCTTCCAGAGGTTTTAAATAAAGTGGCAATTCAAAGTACACCAAATGTGCCACCAGAGAAAAAGAAAGGACAGCTTAATGTTCCAAAGGTTGATAGAAAAGCAAGCGTGACAGGTGGCAAGGTAAGTTTTGCAGATGAACTATCTAAGTGAATTGTGCAGCCATTTGATATCATATAGATTATTTGGATGGGGAATATCTTTTGATAAGGCTTCCAGGTTATTTTAGTTATCATCATTCATTCCTTGCGTATCAAGAGTGACACTGCCGTCACCTTCGCCTGGCTGTACAAGCTTTTATTTCTCTTCACATGACCTCCTTCCGCCACCAACTCTCGCTTCTCATTCAACTTCCATTCAAACGTCTGGAGTGTGATGTCATTCGTTGATTTACTGAATTTATGTCAGATCCATCTCCACTTACTTCTGCATATTTGTTGGGCAATAGGTTCTTAGCTGTTCCATGGCTAGAGCTACACACTGCTTATCTTCTTCGGTTGGTCATCCGATCCTCGTTGTCGAGCTAAGGCAGGTACTGATGAAAGTCTTTTGGAAGTGGTGTTGGTGAAGCAAGCACCAACTCTTTAAACTATATTGGAGCACTGGCTTGAGATTAGTTTTAAAAATTCGGATCCTGTTCCATGTGCTAAGTGCTCTAGATTTCCCCATTAATTCAAGGATAATGAACCAGTCTTGCCTTTCTGATCCTGGCTGGCCTTGATATCCACATCCGTGCCACGGCCATGCTGACTAGGTAAGTGAAATGGATTGACGACTCACTTTACATTTTTCTCGTTGATGGTGACTGATGATTACTGTTATCTGTTGAGTGTCTTCAACACCTCTGTCTTCTCTATGTCCAGCTGAAGTCCTGTCTTGTCTGCCTCATCTGCAAACTGTTTGGTTTTCACTCATACATTTTTAGGTTTTGAGACAAGAGACATTAATCTTCCGTGAAACCCAGATCTATGATCCTTTCCTATGTCCAGCATGTGCCCGTCTTCTCACTGCCCATAGTATATTGCATGATCTAGTCCACAACAATCACAAATATCACCAGTGATAGTAGGCAGTCTTGTCTTCACTTCAAACTTTTCACTGAGCTATTCGTTGTGAATTACTTGGCATGAGGCATCATCACATAGCTACCGAATGAGGTTTATAAATCCTTGCTATACCGTACTTCGTAGTGTTAAAGCAGTTTCCAAATTACTTCACGGTTGATGACGTCGAAGGCCTTTCCGATATCGATGAATCGAAGTTGACGTGAAGGTCTTGATACAATTCCATAATCTGTTTGACATTGGTGAGTAGTATTGCAATTCGATCCCCTCGTGATTTGTTTTTCCTGAATCCAGTTTTCCACCTAAGGCATCTTGTAGTCTTTCAAACATGATGCGGCTTAATATTTTGTTTTGAGTGAACAGGAGCATGATCCCGTGTCAGTTTTTGCATAGGCATATATCGCCCATTGTAGACGGTCTGACAAGGTAGCCTTTCTACCAATCTACAGGTACGTGACTATATCCAATGAAATCTTTGCCTCCTTTATCAATGCTTCTTGAGAGATTCCATCTAGTCCTGCTGCTTTCTTGGCTTTATTAACTATGTGGTCTTCAAGACTTCTGTTTTTGTAGTAGGATGGGTGTTCACTGGTAGTCCTATTGTAACAACAGAAGACAAGGGCCAGGCAACAGATCGTTTATTACGAAAAATCAACACGTATTTATAGACTTTTATGTACATTATTGTGGGTCAATGTTAGTAGAAAATACAGTCTGTTGATTGGTTGTTTCTCACACAAGGTTAACCTTGCATCTCTTGTGGCCATGTCAGTTCATCTATATGTTAACTGTAACCGCCTGTCCACCTTGACCTTTGACCTCAATTACTGTCAACCAATTTGGCCAGCAACCATCTCTCACCACAACATGACTAATATTTGGTACATAAACATTGACCTCAATTACTGTCCACCACTTGGCTAGTAGACATCTCTCACCACACTCGTCCCCCCGTCAAATAGTTTGGACTGAAGTCGGCTCGGTCTTCTCGGTTCTTGGGGCTTTGCTCTGTTGTCTTGCTGTCTGGAATCTCGGCGCTTGCGGATGTTCACTTGCTTCTCTGTGTTTGCCATTGCGATTGTGTCTGCATAACCCCATCTCAACGTGACCATAGATGGTCCTTCCCACTTTGGAAACTGTTTGCCTGACCCTGTCGCACATTCGTAGGTATTTCGCCTCACACTTCCATATGCTGCTTTCTCCCGACCTCCCAGCAGCGTCCCAAGTAGCAGCCTCATCGCTGACAGATCTTGAACGCCACTCAACTGCGAAGAAGCCTCGAAGTCCTGCCCGAAGATCCATATGTCTCCATCAAAAACTGCAGGGCATAGGCTTTCCATTCGTCGGTAGGCAGCGACACCAAATGTAACAACAGAAGACAAGGGCCAGGCAACAGATCGTTTATTACGAAAAATCAACACGTATTTATAGACTTTTATGTACATTATTGTGGGTCAATGTTAGTAGAAAATACAGTCTGTTGATTGGTTGTTTCTCACACAAGGTTAACCTTGCATCTCTTGTGGCCATGTCAGTTCATCTATATGTTAACTGTAACCGCCTGTCCACCTTGACCTTTGACCTCAATTACTGTCAACCAATTTGGCCAGCAACCATCTCTCACCACAACATGACTAATATTTGGTACATAAACATTGACCTCAATTACTGTCCACCACTTGGCTAGTAGACATCTCTCACCACACTATGTCTACTGGTGGTATTCCTGAAAGGGTTGCAGGTGGTGGTCGATTCAACAGTCCTTTGAAGTAATCAGTCTGGTGTTCCTTCTGTCCTACCTTTCTGGTCACCTGATGCATATGGTACGTGTTTCCTGAGAAACTTACTGTTTTCCCTGGCTAATGTCAACACAGTATTTTAAATATTGTTCCTAGTTATTCAAAAAATAGTCCTCTATATACTCTTGTTGTAGACTTCATCTGTTACATATTTTTGTAGACATTTACATTGAAAACTTTTTTCATCTAGGCTGATTATCTTATCCACTTTTCCATCATAGATTTTTGCGTTGAATAACTTCGGAACAAGTTTTGTGCGATTAAAAAAATTAAATCAGGAGAGTTTTACGTCTGAAATCCGTAACTAAAAGCAGTTACTTGCTGGGTAGACAAGATTCTTCCGTTGGAGACGTAATGACTCAGTGTTCAGAACACTGACTGTTACTACAAAGGAGTAGATAAGGAATTTCATTCAATTTTTTGGGATTAATCAATTTAATACTGTTTAATCTTGAAACAGTTTCATTTATCACTTAAGTGTCCAGTGTCTCCATAAAATTAAGTGATAGAATAGTAAGATCTGTTTCTATTATTCTGACCAGTTTTAGTCTTAAGAGTGGCGTAGCGGTGCATAGAAAAAACGAATTTGCTCTTTCTGCTTAATATACAACTACAACATAGTGAAGCGAATTTCAACGACGGCTTGTATCACTAAATGGTACATCTAGCTGACGAGTCCCAAATAGGACGAAATGCGCACTCTGGATTCCACTGCTAGTCACCATCCACTAATTAAACTTATTGATAGTTAAGTAAACAACAGCTAAGAAAAGTGTATCAGTGGAAAACACTGTTTTCTATGGATCTTTGATACTAAATTGGCTTTGTTACATGTGACTAAAGAATTTTACAAATAAGCAACAAGGTGACTACGTTTACTTGCATTGAATCTTCTAAAGTTTCTGAAGCTTCAAGGAAATTTATTCTTCTTAAATTTGAACTGACATTATTAATTATCTTGAAGATATTAAGGATATTAAGGAGCATCTCAAACAAACTGCAGACCTTCATTGTCTTCGCTCAATACTCAAGATCAGATGGCCAGAAAAGATCAGCAACAGAGATCTCTGGGAGCGAATCAACCAGGAACCGATTGTGAAACAATTAGGCAGAAAGAAATGGAGATGGATTGCCATACTCTTAGAAACCATCAAGTGACATCACTAGACAAGCCCTTGAGTGGAACCCGAAAGGGAAACGGCGAGTTGGTGACTTGGAGGAGGTCATGTGAAGAGGAGATGAAAGCGTGTGGACAGACTTGGAGTCAGGTGAAGACTAGCAGAGAACCGAACCAATGGAGACGGGCTGAAGCCCTATTTTCCTCTAGGATTTAAGGAAACAATAATAATATAATATTAAGGATATCACTTAGACATAATGAACGCTACAGTTTAATTCAAGTCATTTTATAAAAATTAAGTGTGGAACATTATCCACTGAGTTATCGGAGTTGGCTCAAATGTTTGCCAGGCATAATTCACTGTGACTTCTAAGTTAAGTGAGATAGGAGTATAGATACGTATCATTAATTTAACTGGTTAGTTTTAACACTTTTCCCATTGTTGAAACAGTGAAGAGGACGCCTGAATTGATACCGAGAGTCCTGAGTTGGAATAATTTATCTTTGGTAGCCATGAAACTGTTAAAAGGCCAGGAACTTAAACTACAAACACTGAACATTATACTTTATCAGTGATTATTTTCAAAAGCCTATCCAGTTTATAATACTGTTCTGTATTCATTAACATTGAATGGATTTATTCTTTACAGGCTACAGGAAGAAGTGTTAGTACTGCTGAAGTGGAGCATGAATTCGAGAAACAAAAATCGAATGCAACACTGAACACAGTTCATGAACAAACACTTAATGACGAGGTGCAGAATGCCGATGCTCAACAATACCTAGATGCACAAACATTTATAATTCTTGAATTTCGTTTAGATAAACCATTGATTAAAAAAAGAACCATGGAAGAAATTGATCATAAGATTTCATTATATATAACAGAAAAGCAACCAGTTGTCAAACGTCATGTGACTGCAGAAAAGGTAGGCTCATTTTTTACTATATGTTTTACTCGTGTTGCTATTACATGAATTCACAGTTCATGTGTTACTTACAGGAGAAGACTTACAGTAACTTATCGTAACAGTCTAATGTCACTCTCATTAGAACTAAAATGAGGGACAGACATAACATGTTTTACTTTTTCGGCGAAGCTGTCAGGCATTAAAATATTTTCGCACGCCTTTGGATGACATTCAGATTCTAGATTATATAAGATTACCAGTTTTTTGACCGTATGGACCATTATTGACGCTTAGTAAATATTACGAGTGAGGTTTTAGTTGTTTTGGCTTATCTTTTCATATGCGAATGATGGAATTTATTATTATTCCCTTGAGCCCTGACTGGAACATGGTACTTCAGCATAACATCTCCACTTTGTCCCATTTTCAGTGTATACCATTCTGAATAAAGAAGTTAAGAAGAGTGGGAAGAAAGACGCACTGTCAACGGAAACAGAACGGGTCACAGGTAAAAGAGACTTCAGAACTTTATTTGAGATAACCAGGAAGAGATCGACGCGGATGAAACCTACAAAAGATAGTCAAAGGAACCTAATTACTAAAGAGGACTAACAAAGAAAACAACAAGCTGATCACTTTGAAAGGCTCTCAGATTGACTATCACCTGCAAATTGTCCATAAATACCACCAATATCACTGACAGAACTGCCAATTGACACCATTCCTTCAAGAAAAGCTGAAGTCTAAGAAACAGAAAACTTCGTTTATTCAGTATGTGGTATTAAGTAGGTACATAGAAAGGATAACAATCCTTAAATTGCGAATATCAAATTAGTCATAAGATCACTTATCTAGGAAGCATTGTTTTAAACACATGCGGAACGGATGAAGATGTCAAAGCAGGCCAGAATCGGAAAGGCAAGATACGCCTTCATCAACCTAAACTCGGTTTGGAAATCTTCTGCACTCAGCATAAACAACAAGATTCGGATTTTCAACACAAATGTAAAGTCAATTCTATATGGGTCAGAAACATGGCGCATCACGGAAAACATTTCCAACAAGTTACAGACTTTTATCAACAGCTGCCTTCGCTGGCTTCATACTGAAGATCAAATGGCCGGCCAGGAAGAATTAGCAACAAGAAACTATGGGTACAAACTAACCAAGAACCTATTGTTCAACAAATATGTAGGAGAAAATGGAGACGGATAGGGCACACACTGAGGAAACCGTCGAATGACATCGTGTGCAGTGTAGGCCATCGCTCGAGTGGAACCCGAATTGGGAATGACAAATGGGTTGTCCTAGAGTGACATGGAGGAGATCGTGTGGCGAGGAGGAGATGAGAGGTTATGGGCAATCATGAGCCCAGCTAAAGAGGACAGCAGAAAATAGAACAAAGTGGAGATATTATGTTGAAGCCCTGTGTTCCACTTGGAACCCAAGGGAACCATAATAATATATAAGCACCGCTTAGGTAACCTCAGGTATTATTACTTGTTGGTTGTTGATACACTAAAACAGCATTACTTTCATACCATATGGTGTAATTTTCAATACATTCTACAAAATATGCCACTGACAACTGGTTAACCTAATCAAACAGAAAATAGAAAATTAGCTATGGAGAAAATCTGAGTACAGTATATCACTTGGAGTAATTGGTAAATCATGATGTGTCCTAAGAATAAAGATTCTTATTATTCAGAATTACCGTCGTTCTCCATCATCATGTCAAAACCATCTCTGAATTCGTCATGTAGTAATGGATTCCAAAGCGGTAAAATGAGTAGTCACAGACAAGAAATAATCCGCATTCAACACTTAATGATGGAGAAATTTAAACCGACATAGTTGTAGTATAACTTTTATGTTTTATTCAAAAGACTTTGTTTGTTTGTAAAGGCTTTGTAATCCCTCTCTCAAACTACTTTCACAATGCGATGTAATATGTCTACACTTGCTGGTACCTTACACAGATATTATAATAGTTTTCATTAGTATTATTACTAACAACTAAACAATTTTGAGATGAGTCTTACCTTAGACTAATAACGCTGAGAAAAATGACAATTGTTTCGTCCTTATTTCGAACTCTTTAGAACTAACTTTGTAACTGATGTCAGTTCTTAAAAGAATCAGTCAGTTCTTTATAAATCTTATGGATGAGTAATTTGTAATTACTTATTTACTAAACTCAATAAATATATTTACATACATATTCTATAATGTATCTTATTCCGTTTTCATTAAAGGCTGTCAAAGAATACCATAAACAAATTGCAGAAGTTGCTAATTATTTGCTAATGGAATTCAAGTAAGCGGATGCTTATAGTTTCATTTCTGACCATTAGTTTCTTTAATATACTGTAGAAATAATTATGATGACAGATGAAAGGAAAGAAATTTACACCTGTTCAAAGATTCATTAGTACATTTTCTCTGGTCGTTGAACTTGGGATTATATAAGCCATTTGTAATTGAATCATTGAATTAGGTTGTGATTTTTGATTCACTATTATTCCCAAAAGTTTTAAAAATTTTCATTGCTGATATACTGATCATTTTGTGACTTTTCAGGATTCTTTAAATTATCAAGACGAGATCTGTCAGTAGTGTTCATTACTGACTCCATTTTTCGTCTTCTTAAACCCTATTTATTCCAGAGTGGATCCTCATTTACATATGGAGCGTGAAGGATTTGGTTATTATTATTCTAGTACATCTACGATCTGAATTTCATTTTGTTACCAGTGTTAAGTGCAACTAGTTGACTGAAGCTCGGGACAATAATGATTATTCACCTGAAATAAAACGGCTAATTTCAGTAATGAAACCAGGATTTCTAAAATTAGACAGGCGGTAAAAGTAAAGTAAAAGTGGTACATGGAAGTTCTCAATTCAAGCAAAACACTGAAATACACGAGAACTAGGTAACCATAGGTAGACAGTATTTCTATAGTGGGTAAATTATTTGAAATTCATTACGAGGACCTCCTACATCCCTTTACGTCAGTAAAATAAACGACTGGTGACTTCATGGGATAATACTGTGTTTTGGCTTGACTCATCTAAATCTCTATTACACCAGACACGGATATATATTCATTATTATCAGTCGAGTTAAGCAACTCTTAGGCATGATTTATCACACCAATTTTTATTACAATAAGATGAAAAGACAATTTCTTCAATGTTGTTTTTTGTTTACACAAAGTCTTTAACGAGTAGAAAAATTCACCGAACTTACATTTGAGTACAAAAAAAATTTAGTGATCTAAAATATTATGGTAAAGTTTGCTGAGAATTAGCATTCAAGGTGACAGTGCCCAAGTTATTCTGAAAATCTCCGCCATGTCAAATTCACCTTCTCAGACTGAATTTACTGAAGGCTAGAACAGCATAGATTTGATTATTAGGTTTTCCTCACATCAATAACTAGTCACATTTTCATTTTAGACTTTATGACCTGATTACCGCCATTTTCAAGTTCATACATTTGGGTTGAATAACAATCTTATGTACTTGAATACTGTCAACCCTGTCTATCTTATTCAGGTATTGGTTTGTAGGGATTTGATTGATTGGTTACAGGATATCATCATGAGCTGGCACCAGTTAGAGAACCATTAGAAAACCCACCCGGGAGTACTGGGCGACTGTTTCGTCCTAGTCTGGGACTCTTCAGTAGTACACACCCACCACTAGGATTCGAACTCAGGACCTTCTGGTTACAAGGCTGTGAGCTCGTAGACCATTAAGCCACTGGGACCCATGAATTCCAGCCTCTGCCAATTCACGACATAGTGTGACTACTAGCGAATGTCTTAGGCGAGTATTTGTCCTCACACCCGACCTGCTGTACCTTCCTGGTCACGACTTCCCACTAGAACCCCAGGTAATGTTAATTTTCTCTTGGTCATATGAACATCATATTTTTTTATTCCTTCACGTTCCCAGTGGAACATAGGACTTCAAGCTAGAGGCTTGGAATTTCTGTAGCAGTGTTTACTTTTACAGGATGGGGTTGCTAGCCTCATGCCCAACCTTTCCTCTTCACCAGCTTTAGTTCTGGCCTAGCGAGGTAAAGGAGTGCGCCGGCCGGGGATCGAACCCCGGACCATGTGCATGGTCGGCGAGCGTCCTAACCGCTATGCCACCGACTCACACAACATCATATTTGGTATCCGTTAAATACCAATTCAACAAACGTGTTCCACTTTTCCCAAAGTTTATCGTTTTTATTCATTTTTATTTTTAGAGTAATGTTTGCTGATTTAATACAAACTGATCAGTTACCTGTGGATCACGAATGTGCTGAACAAATGTAAATTGTTATTATTTTTTAAATATTTATTACACTTCGTAAATTATTCAATTTAGGAAACTTGAATTATTCTATTCACTTAATTCCTCTGGAAAATATTTTGCATTTAAAGAACGCCTAAAATTTGCTGTAATTAAAATAGTCAGAGAGAAATTCTTTCGGACTAAACCATTCACCGATCAAGAACAACTGCATGTAAGTGACTGCATCAATCATATTATTATTTAACATTCTTTTGATTTATGTATGTTTGTAGCTTAGGTTATACTCTTTCGACTAGTATTCTTGTGTTTGCGGGTATAGATTTTGTTAGCAGAACTCTTAGTCTTAATGACGAAAGATATATTTATGTGAACATATGTACATAATGAACCTATTTCGTCTGACAGGTTCATTTCAATGTCCGAAACTACACCATTTCTATAAACGATAAGCAAATGTTAGCTGGAAATATTTCGCTATAACTTGTCCACTGAAAGTTAGTTTCTCCGTAGATCCACATAATGATGCCTTTTCTTGCTTGATTCTCAATAATATATATATATATATTTGCCACTTCTATTAGGATTTTGGTGTCTCACACCCAATATGAATACGTTTAGTGATCGTCAACCGACTGAAAAAGTAAAGATTAGGCACTTCCAGCGATGAAGAGGGACGAAACAGCTGTCCAGTACTCCCAGCTTTTCCAATGGTTCTCTAACTGATGTCAGCTCATGATGAAATCCTCCAAGCAATTAAACAAAAAGAATCCCTACAATAACCAGTACTTGAAGAGGGAAATAAATTGAAATTCTTCTGTAATCTGAACTATCATTTCAAATATTACACATCATACTCAGTACACTAGTGTCAGCCCGCCAGAAATAAGAATATTGCACACAGTCTCACCAATAACTTCTCTTATTATTCTCAAAAACCTTTCTCATATAATGAGAATGCACATCTCTCAAATACATGAATAAGAAAGGATATCTTTCATGCCACAGATATATAACGAGATTTCAGCCTTCTCTTACCTTTATCCAACTGCTCAGTACATTCAGTTAGGTTTTCTGTGCACTGGACACACCACTTGAATGTTGTAGTAACAGCAGTTTCATTACTACAGATAATTCGTTTTTTATCTGAAAACCTTTAGGTATGAATGTATTTCTATGAGAAAGATAAATGTGTAGAGGCGTAATAAAAACAAGATGTAACATCCATTACTTCTAAAATACGTTTAGGATAAGTAACCACCAGATTCAAATGCATACACATGATTTCAGGGTATATTCATTCGATGAATTCAGACGCTTGAGACTTGTCAAAGGTAATTCTCCATACATATTTTTCTTTTTTCATTCCTCTACGTTCTTCAGTGGAACATAGGGCTTCAAGTTAGAGGCTTGAAGTTTCGGTAGCAGTGGTGTTTATTTTTACGGGATGGGGTTGCTAGCCTCATGCCCAACCTACCCTCTTAACCAGTCTAATTACTGGCTTGTAGGGGTAAAGGAGTGCGCCGACCAGTGATCGAACCCCGGATCAAATGAAGCGTGTTTGGCGAGCATTCTACCGTTGTGTCACTGACGCATAATTCTATATTTAGTCACTCACAACAGAATTTGCATACTTTTCAAATATTTTGGAAGACTTTAAATCTGTATAAAAGTTTAGAAGTGAAACAGCCTCAACCGTATCTATACAACTTTCTTAACCGATCCCTTCATTCAACCAACTTTTTCAGTATGAAATGAAACCCACTTTCCGACAATAAAAATAAATTACTTCTAGAAACAACGTAATAATAAAAAATAAGTTTAGATATGATCTAGATAGCATTAGATGAAATTTACATATATCTTTTAAGTTGTAATCAAGTATTTTTACGAGTATGTATTGACCATGTTTACTGGACTTATAAATTCTGCATTTTGGTTATTGTTATGAGTAGAAAACAGTATCTGGTTGAATAACATTCACTTTCCAGGCAAAAATAACTTATTTCAGAAGACAAATAATTCCACAGTAACAGAGAGGAATAATTATTATCCTTCAGATATATAAAATTCATACTACTAAAATTTCAGACGGAGAACCAAACTCAATGGAGATATGTCTCTGAAACCCTATATTCCTCTAGGAACTAAAGAAGATAACATTAATAATAATAAAAAATGTCAGACGACAGTCTGAGTGATAGATATTGTATGGGAAATATCATCTGATGTTATCTTTAACGCTAAAAGCTCGTTCAACTCAAAACAAAAGATTGTCTTTAGAATGTAACTCACATATACATGCATATTGTTATATTAAAATTCGCTGATGAGTAAATATTATTTATCTTCTGTATTTTATATTTTAAGCTTTTCCTACGAGATTTATTCGTCTATCTTATTGATGAAATGCATATTGGTTTGACAAAAGTCTTCACCTCAAAAGACTTGACAAAAATTCCAGAAACCAATTTTGCTGATCCTGAAATCTTGTTACGTTATGCACATGAAGCTGAACAAAATCAAATGTATGATTGGGCAGTGAAATATTACGAGGTTAGTTAATTATTATAGACTCAATAAAATTGATACAGTCAATAATTGTTGATATTAGATGGTTGGAGGCGATTGGCAGGAAGCCTTGCTTGACCTAGGTTTTCGTGCTTGTTTGCATTCAACAGTCAGCAAGGCATATCTGCAATTTTGAAGGAACTCATGATCCTTCTGAGATTTGAACCTGCGTCACCCAGTGCTGCTGTCAAAGATGTTGCCACTGAGCTATTCGGGCTCGCGATTGACCGTGATGATGAGCCACCTAGTGGTATGTTGGCTACATCGCAAACTAGACTAACAGAATTCAGTCTGCACCAAACAGAGGACTAGACACATCACACTAGATACTAACTAGTGTCCAATCAGAACAATCAATAATTTTAATATGAAAATATATCTAGTAGATAGAAAATATTCTGTTAACAAAGTCAAATATATATCATGTTTTATTGTTTTAATGTGTACAGTTAAAAGTGTAACAAAATTGTAAGCTAAATTCAGTTGAAGATTAAAATGAAACAACGAACAGTGTGGCTTATTCGTTCGGATATGTTGGACTTCAGAGGGATAGTGGAAGTTAATCTTATCTTTCAGAATGTACAACTTTAGAAAATTCAAAACATCACTTTTATGAAATACTATAGTTTTAGATCATTTTATCATAGTGGAACAACAGAAGACAAGGGCCAGGCAACAGCTCGTTTATTAAGGAAAATCAACACATATTTATAGATTTTAATGTACATTATTGTAGATTATTGTTAGTAGAAAATACAGTCTTTTGATTGGTTGTTTCTCACAGAAAGTTAACCCTGCATCTCTTTGTGGCTGTGTCAGATCATCCATATGCTAACTGTATCCGCTTACGCAAAGCCTTTGTTCTCACTTTCTCACCACCAATATTGGGGACATAAACACTGACGTCAATTACTGTCTACCAACTTTGGCTAGCAGCCAGATCTCACCACAATAGTGCAGATGAAGTTTACTGGAAATTGTTAAATATCGGCTTCACACCTAGGTTTATTTAGTTTTTAGATGTAGACAGCATTAAGTAGTACAATCTTTAAACCTTTCAGATATAATCTGTCTATGATCATTAATGATTCCAAGTGCAAAAGTAAGTGAGGTTTAAATTAAGGGCCACTAATTTTAGTCTATCAATGATCTGGGCTTGATTATATTACTCTATGCTGTCAGAGGAAGAAAAATCTGTAGGAGAATCATTCTATTTATAGAGAGTTTACTTGGGGTCAGATAAGACACACAACCTAATACTGAAGCAGTCACAGCTGATTGCTAACAGAAATAATACAGTTAGCAAATATTTCTATACATTCCTTGAAGAATAAAACGATCAGTATCTAGATAAAGAAAATCCTAGTAGACACAGTTGTCTGAAGTAATGATTTAGCTTTCCGTCTATGCCATTTAGTCACCAAAACATAAAGTGTAGCTGATTGAAACATTTTCGGAGACTTCTGTAAAGTGCTTACTGATCAAATGCATATATTTAGGGGAATCGTCCCTGAGGTGACTGTGACTGGTAATAGGATGTATAGAATAAGAAGACGGTACAGGTATCAGTGACCTCGATACTCATCTTTCAAAACTTGCAATATCTTAACATATAAAAATATACATATATAACTTCTGAAGTTTAACACTAAAATGAAAATTCATTGCCTGAAGTAATGTCTATTTTACTTTTGCAATGGAAGGTTTATAACAAAAAGAAATGAGCCAAATATATGATCGTATCGAGTGAAACCATTTTAACAAAAGCCTAATTAACAGTTAACTCTCACAGGTAATCTGATAGAGTTTTAGTTTGAAAGGCGAAAATTTCTACTCCTGCTGAGAGTGGAGTTTACAACTCTGCTTTATTAGTCTCTTCACTACACTGCCATCAGTTTGTCAACTTAAGGTCATTTCAGACGGTGTCACTTGAGATTATAAACTTTGAAATTCACTATCTCATCTTCGTTTCTGCATTTCCGAAAAATGGACTTCATTAGGCATATGAAGTCAATTTTAATTTTCTACCGTTAGAAGAAAACTAGTTATTTCATAAAAAGACTATGTTCACTACACGACATTCGAGTTCACGCCGATTATTTCCAAATAAATTTAGCAATACGATAGCTTACCATTTGCATAAAACTCACTAATTTTTCTTCAAGAAAAGTTTTTTTTTAAAAAGTCCGACAATCTAGTTTCCCAGATTATTTCTGATAGTCTTAGTTACCAAACGAAGCGGCAAAAGTCGTTCTGTTTTGTTTTTAAAAGCTTTTATTCAAGATTAATGCTAATATTAATACTCTTGAGGTTAGAGATTTCAATTTAGTGGTAGCAACGAGACCGCTCGGTTTACTGGTCAATCATTGGCTCAAATCACAGTATATATAATCCTTGACTAGCTAACACAGGAAATAGCTTTGCAGTTGTAAGTGATTTTTGATTTCTGCCTGGTTGGCAAGACATGATCGTATCACTTAGATTCTACAGCTGGATTAAATGACCCATAACTCTCTTCATGAACTTAGTTATGACAAACTATCACATAACTAAGAATCTTACATAGGTATAAGGAATATACAGGATAAAAAAGAAAAGATAACCAAAGTACCGTCCAATTTATTGAAATCAAATAAATAGGTATTGATTTTTGGTGTACCACGATTCTAATCACAAATCGATAATTAGATCTTGGTTTTTGTAGGGATTTCACATTAATTCTAATATAAATATATAACCATAGAGAGCTACTGAAAATCAAGAAGTACCAGACAGCCATGTTACGCTATTTTGATCATTGACAGAAATTAGAGTTCATGGATCATTGTATTCAAACTCAGTGGCTAAATGGTCAACTAGATGAAGTCGTAAAATGATGATCCTGGATTTGATCACTATTGGGATCATAGGTGAGACTGCTGAGAAGTTCAAAAACAAGGGAAAAACACCTGACTAGTGCTTCTTGGTTTCCAATGATTCTGTGGCTTATATCAACTTAGCAAAAATATTCATTCAGACATCTATAAAACACAAAATAATCGAGCAAAGAATATTCTTTTCGATAAATTCCTCTTCCGGCTCTACAATTATATATATGTTTATATACATAAAATGGATGTAAATGATACTTTTGGATTTGTTGAAAGGATAAAAGATTTAAATGTTGACAATAAATTCATGATATCATTTGACGTATCTTCCTTATTCACCAATGTACCACTTATGGAAATAGTGGACTCTGCATGCGAAGAGCTCAAAAGACGAAACATCGATGTTGGCATTCCTATATCTTTTATGAAAGAGCTTCTCTTGAAATGTACAATAAATGTCCAATTTATATTTAATAAGGAACTGCATAGACAAATCGACGGTGTGGCAATGGGGTCACCACTAGAACCCATTCTAGCCGACATTTTCCTTGCGAAACTAGAAAATGGGCCTTTGAAGGATGTTATTAATGAACTTGAATTCTATTGTCGTTACATGGATGATACATTTTTGATTATGAAAAATGAGGAGGAAGCAAAGAACATCCTGGATAAATTTAACGAAGTTCATCCTGCAATAAATTTTACTATTGAGAAAGAAAAAGATTCTAGTATTTCATTTTTAGACGTCCTTATGACCAAAAAAGAGGATGGCACAATAAGAAGAAGTGTATATAGAAAACCTACATCAACGGGCCAGTACACACATTTTCTCAGCCTTGTGCCCTTGAAATAGAAATGCAATCTGATAAAGTACTTTGTTCATAGAGCAAAAGCAATCTGCTCGGATGAATGTATTGATGAAGAAAATAATATTAAACGGTTTCTAAGTGAAAATGATTATCCTGATAGTCCAAGTTACCAATAGTTCCAAAAAAGGCCTTATTCTTACAAATGCAGTTCCTTGAGGACAAAACCAGTGAGATACTGACACAGCGCCTTAGAAATGCGGTAAAACAGAGTATTCCCTGCTGCCGAATTACGCTGTATCTTTAAAACAACTCCTCTTTCGCGTTCGGGAGTAAAAGACAAACTGCCTAATTTCGCCTCTTCCATGTGTATATACCAATTTAACTGCTTCTGTGGAGCCAGTTACATAGGCCATACAATTAGGCGTGTTTCTCGTCGAATTTCCGAACATGGTTAAGCAAAGGACAAACAAAATCTATTCGCAGCGCTATTCTGTCTCATCTTGTGGATACAGAACACAAGATTGACGTTAACCATGCTTTCAGTGTAATTTGCCGCATACCTGAGTACCTCAATTTCGCCTTAAGAGTTCGACTACTAAATACTGCTGAGGCTGTGGGGATCCATATTAATAAGCCTAATTTAAGCACCCAAAAGAAGTTAGTTCAGTCATTATCATTACCTTGGCCATCTAGGTGTGAATGATCATGAATTTTTGTGAAATTTTCCAAATTTTAGTTGATATTATATTCGCTACTATATCTTTATTATTATTATAATTTAAGCATCTTTAATGAACTGTAATTGCATTAATCATACTTTACAAATCGACATTATTTAAAAAACGCTAATATTGTTATTAACTACTAATTTAAAATATTCTGTGTATATAAACATATGTATAATTGTAGAGCCGGAAGAGGAATTTATCGAAAAGAATATTCTTTGCTCGATTATTTTGTGTTTTATATCAACTTGTCAGAAAACCTACATTAAAGTTCAAATCTGTTAGGCTTAGTACAGAAAAAGTAAAAGAAATTTAACACTATTCAATAAGAGGTAGTGCACCTTATTTGAGTGTTTATCATGCCGCCAGAAATATTGGTAATAGTGATTAAGTATGAACTTTCAACGTTATGTAACGTAATTTCTTTCGACATGTAATAAAGACAGTCTCATTGTGTGATTAAAGTTACTGTAAGTTAAGTGTCAGTTGTATTCATTTTATCTTTCCTATAGGAACGTATTGCAAGGGATCCAAGTTCATCGGCATACTGGCTTGATTTTGGCGTTTATTATTTAGGCCGAAATGACTTGGAGCAAGCAGCAATATGTTTTCATCGTTCATTAACTTTGGATTCTAAGCAAAGTACTGGGTATGTTAGTTAAAAATTAAAATCCCCAATCAAAAACAGACTGATAATTATGACAAAATTTCTTGTTCATTCATTATTACATAAATTTTAGGTTTTTACTAATATCAGTAAATAATAGTTCCTACTGGAATAATGTTGCACAAATATTAAACTATCATGCTCGAGTGATATTCAGTCTAAAATTTATTTACTGAATAATGAACACCTTTTTCCAGCTTACTATTTGTCCTTTTTCTTGATCACTTTGTAAGCTAATTTACTGCCATAGAAACCTAATAGAATACTCTAGGTTATGAACCTCACCTCTGTCACTTTCATTGAAGAGTATATGTATTCAAGTTCAATCATGGAGAGAGAAAACTATTGAAAACCAGGGGGTTTCGGACAACTGTTTCATGCTAGTTTGGAATTCTTCCGCAGTACGCGCCCACTGGGGTTTGGACCCAGTGCCTTCCGGTCAAATGGTAAGCTCGTAGACCCTTCAGCCTCTAGGACCGGACTCAATGGCTAGCCCATGAATTCCAACTTCTACCAATTCGTAATTTTAGTATGATCACCAGTCAGTTTCATCGGCGAGTATTTGTCCTCACACCCGACCGGGCTGACCCCACTGGTCACGATTCCTTACTAGAACTCCAGGTAACTTCGTCCTGTGGTCACTCAATAGCCAGCATCAGATTAATTTTCAGGAGTTTTTTGTATTCAGTTACTGTAACTGATTGAAACAAGTGAAAAAGATCCTGATGGGCAATCGTTTTGCAACAACAATTTATTAGGTTTACAATAATAATAGTTCATGTGATCAAATTCTTAAAGCGAGGTCAGATGAAAACACCTAGTGCATACTCTCTGTAAAATTTAATCCTTATTAGCTGTACTAAAATCTGAGAAACAAAACAGCTGATATGGTTTGTGATTAACCAGCAAATGTGAACAACAGATAGAAAAATGATCTTGCCTACACATTCTTCTCAAATTTAACGAGTATTACTTACTATTCTGATAAATTTCAGACACACATAATACACCGTACCTGTATTTGTTGATCCAGTTTATTAGAACTCGTGAAGATGATGTTCTACAAGCACAGATCGAAAGGAATTTTGACAGATAAAAAATGTTTACGTTAATGTTTTAATGTATTTCAAAATTACAGGTCTTTTTACTAAAATGTCACTGTTGTGAACTGTCATTAACTTGTAAGAAATAATTGAGGGGAATAAAGCATTTACTGACTTGCTGTCAGTTGATTATAGAACATATACCGTAATTTAAATACTGACGGTTTTGAGACGGAGGCTTTTACAAATAAACAGATAGTACAATTTAAAAGTCAATCTAAATGATGAATATTCTTTTCAATAATTCCTCTCCAGGTTCTTACAATTATAAAATATAATATTTGTTGTCGTTACAATAATGGCCAGTTATGCGGCGGATACATTTTTTAACGTAGAATAACAGATTAGTTATGGGGTGTCAAAATAAATAGTCGCATTTGTGTGACAAACATGATAGGCTGAAATCGATTACAAAATATTGTGAAATGGGAGACAATGGTGGTTATTAGTCAAAATAGATTTGCAGAATAAGGGGTAGGAAAACTTGACAAATCATTTCAAGGCTATAAAAGGTGTCAAGTAAGTGGCTAGTACAAAGCAGTAAGTATTAAAGAGGAGATAGTGAGACTGCAATGAGAGGTTCATAATGAAATTTTTATTTTTTATTTTATTTTTGATTACAGCTTGATGCCACACCGTATTTACAGTACAAGTATGGAATTTTCAGCATGGATATCGGTAGCCCAAATTTCGCAGGCCGACCATAGATATCAGGTGTGCGTCGGCAGCGGATCGAACCCCGGACCATGTGCATGGTCGGCGAGAGTCCTAACCACTGTGCCACCGACGCACAATAACGAATGTGTGAAATGAAACAGGTGGAGGCATATATTGAGAAAAGAGATAATATCACTAATAATAAGTCCGGATAGTATAAATGGAAAATTCGATAGTACTGAGAGAATGTTTGCATGAAGGATATAAATTATAATGAACAGTATTAATTGTAATAATAAGCAAGGATAAAAGATCCAAGAGGGTTAAGGGAAAGAAGCACTCTTGGTGAGAAGAAAAATCATCAATCGAAGTTTAGCCACGGTAGGAGCAGCGTCTGGACGTGTTCTTTTTGGATACAGAGTTCCGGTTTAGTCGATCTTATTGCAACAGCTTCAGCAAAGTGTAGGAGATGTAGGCGAACCGTACGTGATAACGACTTTGGAATTCGGTATATAACCCTGAACGTTGTGTTGATGTCGATGCTATAACCAGTATCGACCAATTGTGAAAGGATCGAGCTTTTTATACACTTAATTCCTCCCTCATTATTACTTACTGCTTTGTACTAGCCACTTACCTGACACCTTTTATAGCCTTGAAATGATTTGTCAAGTTTTCCTACCCCTTATTCTGCAAATCTATTTTGACTAATAACCACCATTGTCTCCCATTTCACAATATTTTGTAATCGATTTCAGCCTATCATGTTTGTCACACAAATGCAACTAATCTGTTATTCTACGTTAAAAAGTGTATTCTCCGCATAATTGGCCATTATTGTAACGACAACAAATACTACATTTTATAATTGTAAGAACCTGAAGAGGAGAAATTATTGAAAAGAATATTCATCATTCAGATTGACTTTTAATTCATGATATGGGAATATTTCACATTATTCGATAGCACGAAAAGAAGTCTTCAACTTAGTTTATGGTAATCACATTGTTTGTGTCTAAGTAATGAGAAGTACGAATCTCGTAACGTACGCTGATTTATATACGATGTTTGAAGTAGGGGAGATATTTACATTTAGGAAGAACTTAAGAAATTACCAATGAATTAGTTTCAATTATAAGTTTTCCTTCTGGCGGAGATGAATGCGTGATAAGTTATTGGGAGTGTAATTTAAAAAGCTTTTGAAGTGCATAAAACTCTGTTTCGCTGTACAGAGGACAGATGAGGAAGAAATGAGAGTAGGCAAAAGTTTCCCAATGAAATAAGTATATTTTAGCATAAAAGATATGCTTCAGGTTTTATAGTTGATTATGTGGTCGACATTGAGAAACACCCAATTACTTTCATCTGTGATTAAAATTGACTATTTATAAGTTGTTATTTTTAAAACGATAGCTTGAATATAATTTACACAAGTGGGCTTGGTAGAAAGCTTTTGCATTTGAATGGAACTAACAGAGTACGGATGAGGTACAGAGGTTTTGTTTTGACTGTCAACTGCTTTTGCAGAAATCGATATATGAAATAAACAATGAGATCCTTGTTAAAAATGTAGCTAAGCTTCTATCAGATGTAATAGTATAGGGAACAGGAATTATAAAAAATTCACGAAATCTATTCTCTCAGTAATTCAATGATAACAATAAGAGCTTTATTCCAAACAGTAGTTTTTGGTATAAATATGGGATTCTCAGCATGTAGTGCAGTACCAAAAGCAAAAGCACTTAGATATTTGTAGCTAATATAATGGATGCCAGGAAGGACTGTATCCTGAGTTGAGTTTGTTGATATCAAAGCTTCCAATTAAAGGTCAGAGATCATTCCCAATGCAACTACAGATTCTAAAAGTGGCACTACAGATAAAATTGATATTGATATTGTAAGTTATGAACATTATCTCTGTCTAAACTGCTTTCAACTCCTATGTTTCTTAAGAGTTATCTGTTATGTTTCATATTAAATTGTAACGCCTAAGTTAGCAAAGAAGCAACTAAACCAGCATTTACTTTCGGTGTTTTACTTTAAAGTTTGATTCTGTTCGGCCTTCTTTCTGCTATGCAAAATTCCAATGATGAAGCAACTGATTTTCTGGAAGCAGCTGTATCTCATGATCCCAAAAATCCAATTGTATGGGTAATACTTGGTAAGTGGACTTTCAAAAATCATAAAGTTTCATTCTATTTGTAAAACTAACTGCGGTAGATTCCTATTTAAGTGACTAGTGGTTAAAATCTTTAATACTATCTATTACTGCATGATGGTCAAAGGTTAACTGGAGACTTTAGATTTATTTCCCCCTTCGTTTGTGGGATTTTATCTGGTCTGCATTTGGTTTCAGTATTGTTTTGGGGTGTTTTGATCATGATACACAAATTTGTTGACAGACTTAACAATACTGGCCGAAAGTAAGCTTGACTTTTATTTTCTAATAACCAGTTTGTGTACTTCAATCTAGCATTTCAAGCAGTCAGTAGTGGAATGAATAGATTAGCACTTTAATGTTGGATAAAATAGTTATCAGTCCGGGAGAAATCTAGTGGATGTTAAGATAACCTTAAACCCTGTGATAACTTCGCAATTTGCAAATGATACCATCCATTATCTTTTAGGCATGCTTTGTTTGTCTGTTGCTTAGGTTCTTCCCAGAGTCTTCACCTTTCTCTCTCATTTCTTCTTCAGTCACTTTTCCATTGACACTCAAATTATGATTGCTTCACCAAAGGTGTTATATGACATACTACTTATATCTACTTAAAAGTAACACAACATTATGTGCTACCTGAAATTTGCACTGAAATGTCATTGCGATATTTGTCAGACCTTGCTTTGATACAATTTTAGTTCAACAGTCAAAGAGTGAAGGAAGCAGCTTCAAAAGACGCTATCAAGGCACTCATCAGGAAGAAGTCAGAGACGTTAATTAACATTACCGAAGAAATCAGCTCTCCAACAAAAGCAGAGGTTTCAAAAGATTTCTATCCGATTTTTGGTGTGCTGATCTGATGAAACCCACTTCGCTTTGCGGATATCCTTGTGTAAGTACATGTCACCTTCAATCACTGAATCATCAAAGACACAGAAGTCTCCTTGCGTTGTCTGTTTTCATTGGAATTTTGATGTCATCATCTGTGTTCTTGTCCATTACTGTTTGCAGTTGTCTTTAAAAGCCTTTCTTCTTCCCTTAGCCTGCAGTGTTTGTAGGTGCGTACCACGGCATGTTACTTTCATTCCCCTTCAGTCGAATCTTGTTGTCATGTTCTTTACAGGAGATTGTTTCTCACTGCCTAAGAGCTTTCGATGCTGTCAGAGACATCATGATAACCACTGCCTCAGTGTTCTCGTGGTTGTTTTCTTGGTGACCGTAGTAAGTTATTGGCTCTGACATTAGTAATTTAGAAAGTACATTTCCATTTCATCTACTGTCACAAATCCTTAGGACTACTGCTCATTCCTTTTACCATCTGAGCTACCGTATCAACCTAAAAGTCTGTGGGGACCTTCTATGTCCCTATGCTTAGTTTTACTACTATTGACTGAAAGCTTTCCCCCACCGGCATCGTCTGGCCATCAATTCTGTAACTTATCCGATTTCTAGCCAAAAATAATTTTATTTTTACCGTGTTTTGAAATGTCGCTAGCAAGGGAGCTGTTTTACCCGAACTTCTGTCATTTCTAGGTTTAGAACTATTGCTATTATCCTTAGTGAAAGTGGATAACTCATGTGACATTATCAGCAGCAAAAGAGTCTGGTATGACAGTGTAAAATTAATCGTATACTGTTAGATTCCAAGAAACGTTATGTGTTCTGAAATATATCATTTTGTTACAGGATTTCATCATGAGCTGATATTGGTTAGAGAACCATTGGAAAACCCACCTGCGGGTACTGGACAGCTGTTTCGTCCTAGTTTGAGACTCTTCATCAGTACGGTCATGATGAAATCCTGTAACCAATCAATCAAATCCCTACAAACCAATACTTGAATGTCAATGAGATGCTCACTAGCGACTGGCTCTATTCAGGTAGGTTTTTACCTGGGTTTCTATTGGGAAGTCGTGACAATTAGGGTACAGCAGGTCACGTGTGAGGACAAGTACTCGCCAAAGACATTGGCTAGTGGTCGCGTTATGTCGTGAATTGACAGAATTTGGAATTCATGGACTGGGCATTGGATCGAGTCCCAGTGGTTCAGCGGTATACGAGCTCGCCTTGCTACCATAAAGTCCTGGGTTCGAACTCCGGTGGGTGCGTACTGTGAAGAGTTCCAAACTAGGCTGACGAAACAGCTGTCCAGTACTCCCAGGTGGGTTTTCCAATGGTTCTCTAACCGATGTCAGCTCACGATTAAATCCTGTAACCAATCAATCAAATCCCTACAAACAAATACTTGAATATATCATTTTGTTTGTCAGTGTCTGGAGGCGTTAGATGGGATTATGAGTACATATGACTGCTGCTGCTTTTTTTTTCTTACATATATAAATGCGGCTAAACGGACTTTGAGATGAAGGCATCTATATGTATTTTAATGATGTGGCAACACACCGGACACTTCCAACTAAATTTTGCTGAAGCATAGCCATCAAGTTTTACGCCTAAAGAGACATGTATTTTGCAATTCATTCACCTTGGCTTTTTTTATTATATATCTTATCAAGGTTTATTCTATGAAACTATATCTAATGATATTGGAGTAGACATGGCTTTAAGTGAAGCTAAACGCTTAGAAGAAGCTGATGATCATGAAATAATTGTCACGCCCAAAAGTGATCTTACCGATAATCTAACAAATAAACGTCAACCATCAAATGTCATATCTGAAGGTTCACAAAATGATGGTAAGTTCCTGTACTTCTTTTTTTGTTGAACAAACTCTCTCACTAATGTTACACAACAAACACATTAACAAGCAGTATACTCACTATGCTTGTGAAATTCTCTTCTTAGAAGTCATACAGTGGGATATTTTGAGATCGGATTCATAATAAAGTTGCGATGACTGAATCACCTAGGCACGTAGCTAATCGCAGTTTATCCAGATGCTTGATGAAACTGAATACACTTGAAGGACACTAACTGACTCATACCCACATTCTCACTCGTTTATACAATGCGGTCATGAAGAATATATGCAGCTGTATACATGAATATTTCGCACCACAGCTTTTCTAAGTGGACGGCAATTGAGTTGGAGCTTTCAGTAACATTTTAATCATTATTTTCAATGAGAATTAAGTAATAATAGAAAGTTGGCATATATTGGACACAGGCACTAAACTATTAGTTGAATACATTTCGAATGTTGGTGGCATTTATTATGTCAACGTGAAGCCATGCTGCCTTTTCTAACCATAAATGTGTTTCTCTTCAGAGTAAACTTACGAAAATTAAAAAATATTAAGTCACGTCTGTTCACGTTACTCAAGTGAATGATGGTATTTCTGAACAAATAATACTTTAATCGCATCAATATCTCAAGAATTAGAATCAAAATTTCATGGAAAGATTTGGAATTCGACCTAGTGGATGAGTGATAATGTTTCCGTTAGGAAATCTGAGATGACGTTTCCGATGTGCACTTTTTAAAGAGTCAGACGTTATTAACAGATTTTGTAGCTGAAAATATTGTTTTAATGATAACTGAATAAAAGCTGAAAGATCTAAGGATCAATGTGGAAGAAGGTGAAGCAAAAAGCTAAAGGCATTTACTACGACTGTACAAAGTTTATTATTCTTTCTATACCACCTTGTAGATCCCACTTTTCAGGAAGTTTTTCCCCCTAATTTATGTTCCTTTCAACGAAAAATCAAAAAGCTCTCATTGTAAAGAAATTTTTAAGCATAATATTATTCTGTTTTGTATAGATAAACATTAGTTATATTGAACACACTAAATTTAATGTTTATATTGAATAATTCTGATGAGAAATGACGTGAAATATAGGTTTGCTTAGTTTTTAGCGATTTATCAACAACAGGAAATTTGAGCCGTCACATGCGGCCTGTTTTATTTGTTCTTTTTCATTTGGTGTGTCTCAGTAGCATATTTATCACTCCTGCCCTGTGACACGGCAGCAGGAAGCGCGGTCGTTGTTAATTCGGGCCCCGGCCGATCCGGCATGATATTTTATGATTTACTTTGAGTCATAGCACTGGGTTGGGTAACTGCTTTTTGTCTAACCGCTATCCAAACAAACTTTCTGGCATGGTAGGACCTCAAGCGACATAAGTCCCAGCCAGTATAGCTTGTTGGGTCATTGCGTCAAGGTAGCAGCTTTGCTTACGCTAACATTTTGTGGCTTTAAACAGAAATGCTATGTACATGGTGACCACTTAACAGTTTCAGTAACAATTTCCAGTTTCTAAGCTTTTTTCTACATCTTGTATATCTGCTAGTTTGCTATACCAATTACCAGGTTTTTGAAAAGGTCAGATTTTTGGATTGTACTAGTTATTATTCGTTTTCTTTAAACTTTCGACCTGAAATAGCCGAATTCTGCTGACCAGACTTTGAGCTCACTCTTAAACAAGCCAGTTAAACAACCTGACCTTGTATTCCTCCAATACAGATGCTAAAATGGAAATGAGGTCCTTTAAGGTTGCAGATACGCCTTTCTGACTGGTGAGAAAGAAACTTGGGTCATGCAAGGCTTCCTGCTGATTGCATCCAACCGTCTAATATCAACAGTTCACAGTACATGGTGATGGTGAGCCACCTAGCATAGTGGTCACATGACAAACTTGACTGATAAAATTTAGTCTACTCCAAACACAGGACTACACCACACTACACTAGTTACTAACTAGTTTCCGATTAAAGTGTGAATAATACTCATTTAACTAATTCTATTAGTCCGTGACAAGTTGAGGTTTATTTTGTTGTAGAATTTTCATCATTTCATTTTTCACTATAGGCTTGATGAACAGACTATCGAATGAATCTACAAATGATGAAATACAAATTGAACAAGCAGATAATTCTAAAATGCCAATAAATGAATTAGATAAAGAAAGTAATCTATCAGTAATGATCAATGGGAATAAAACTGAAATGGACAAGACTAGTGAGATTAAAACACGAAAATCTCGTAATTCAAAAGGTATGCAAAATATCTTTTGTACATAAGTTCAATTGCTTCATCAACATATTAAAAATACCTTGGATTGTATTACTTATAAAGTTATGGCTTTAAGGAAATTCTCTAATTCTTCGAACTTTAAAATGAATCGATTAAGCAAAAAGAACTCTGTACAGTCCTGGTGATCATTACTGACGTACTGTTAAATAACTATCAGAAACAATTATTCTTTCTTATAATTTGAATAGTTACTGAACAAAGAATATTCTTCTCGATAACTTTATCATCAGGTTCTACAGTTATGTATACATAATAGTAAATGAATTAGTGTTATTAACAACATTAATGTTGTTTAAGTAACTTCGAATCAATAATAATAATATCAGTGGATTACAGTTCAATAGCGTCAACACAACAATAAACAGAATGTCAGAAAAAGTAGGAAAGATAATAATACAGATTCATCAAATTATAGTTTCCATCGTAGGCCAGGGCAGTAAAAGCGGCTGGACTTGCTTCTTCTACATACAATGCACTGGTTGTTTCAGGTGAATCAAGATGGCGTCTGCTGTTTGGAGTATACGGTACCTGGATGTTTTTAGCAAGTTGTTTGGTACCCGGTAGGTGATTGAGAAAGATTCGTCAATGCTGGCTTTGTGGCCGGTTTGGACCAGGTGGTCTAATATCGAAGTGTTGATGGTTTTTAATACATCTTTACTCAGCCATACTGGGAGATGTTCCCGAGCACGAAAAGTCAAGTTCCTAGACCAACAGCAATATAAATCGCTCCACAAGCACATTTGAATTCGTAGATACACTTGGAAGTGGCTAGTCTGGGTACTTCATCTTTTCTCCATTGATATTATTATTTATTCGATGTTATTTAAACAACAACAATGTTGTTAATAACAAAAAAGTAGGATTCAGCAGAGTTTGACATTGTGAACTACTTAACTACACATTTGTTTGTAAAGTCACTGTGCAGGCAGAAATAGGAGCTCAAATAAACGAGTTTAATGCATGTTTTGACAAGACAATAAAAAGACGCAATTAACCTGAAACGTGTAATGTATTTGCGCAACACATTTCAGATATCTTGATCACACACATGTACTTGTCATACATCCTTATGTAGAAATCAATGGAGCATATATGGTTGGTTACAATTTCTATCGATGTTTCCATGTTATGGTCACAGATAAGAGGCAGGAAAATAAGGTCAGAAAATGAAATAAGGAAAAAGGGAGGATTAATTTCAATTGTAAAATTTTCGTCACAAACCAATGGAAGTTAGAGAGATCATTAAGAATTAGGAAGCACTGTGAGGATTCAAGGGTCGCTGAATCCCAGCCTCGGGCGGATGAATAGTCAACAAGCTTGGTCTCGTAACCTGAAGGTCCTGGATTCGACCTTTGAAGAGTCCCAAAATAAGGCGAAACAGCAACTCAGTGCTCCCCCATTCTTAATGACCTCTGTAAGTGATGTTGGTTCCTGACGAAAATCTACCAGTTGATATTATTCAGCAGAATCAACCTTGGTTTAAAATTGGATTACTAAGGCAGGTTCACAGTAATAGCGAATAATGTTTTTAAGGCTTCAGCGAATTTAATTATGTGATTCAAACATGTTCTACAAATGGGTTTAAAGGCGTTATTTAAAACAAACCTTATGACCAGCCTCTATGATGTGCTTTGTGATAGATGATGTTAGGCATCTATTTCCAGGATATATTCTATCCGATCATTTTAGTTGTTCTTGTAACCACTTTTGCGTCTGTGGCACAGCAGTAGAATGGTCGCCGACCACACCCCATTTATTCCGGGGTTCGATCTTCGGCTGAAGCACCCCTTTACCTCGCTAAGCCAGTAATAAGACTGGTAAAGAGGGAAAGTGAAGCATGAGGCTAGCAACTCCATTTCGTAAAAATAAGTACCACTGATACCGAAACTAAAAGTCTCTAGCTTGAAGCCCTATGTTCTACTGGGAATGTAAAGGAATAAAATAAAATGATAATAATTGTAACTAGTTTTGACCGTGTTCGATGACCATGTCCTGAAGAGATCGATAGATCCTTCCTATGTACGTGTGACCACACATATATGTAAATCAGTAAACACGGTGCAATGTAACCCTATCGTTCGGATGTTGTAAGGGTTTACAGAACATTATAAATCTTGTATTCACTATGAAAATCAGTTCAGCCGCATAGTAAGTTCTACTTAGCGCCAGCCTAAATCTTTGTTCATTGATCAGCCTTTGGTGATTTGACGCAAATACATTATACGTTTCAGATAAACTACGACTTCTTGTTGTCTTAACAGATGTTTAAAAGAATAGTACGTTACAACACTGTTGCTGGTACTATCACTTACTTCTTGTCCACGCTTATTTAAGCGTGATGATCCAGATATTTTTTTGAGTTAGTGGGATAAGTACTTCCCATAGTAACATGCATGACACGAGTACTTCTTTTTCTTAATGTGTAGAATGTGAAGCATTGTGTAATAATCGGCGCGATGTTCGGTTTCATCAAGCAGACGAATGATAAGTCTAACTGTACAATATTTATTGCAGTTGAAAGATTTCATTCTAAGTACCAAATACATGCTATGTTTGCCTACTCTCAAACAATGTACATATGAAAATATAAGATTACAAAGTCCATCAAGACTAAGTATGAAGTACGCCTTTATCTTAACTGACTTCTACAGTGGTTTAAAGACTTTCAAGTATATCTGTCTCGCAATTAATATCCTGACGTTCTTATGCGCTACGTGATTTGTATAGATACTCTGCATTCAAATACACATATTTAATCAAACCATCCTTATATTCAATTTAGTAGAGACTGTTACATATTAGTTACTGCCCTGCCTGATTGCATTTTCCGTAGCACATTCCTGAGAGATAGAAGAAACCATTCAGTGATTCCACTTCTATTTTGATCATGAATCGATATAAGTTAGAGAATCCGAGAGTACTAGTCAGCTGTTTCGTACTAGTTTGGGACCCTTCATCAGAGCGCACTCATGACACCCCCCGGGGGATTGAATGCAGGACCTTCAGGTTACAAGATGAGCTCGTTGGCAATTTATCCACTGGGATGGAAACCAATGGTCCGTCTATAGATTGCAGTGGTTCTCCAACATGATCATCATAATGAAACTTGAAACCAGTCGAATCCCTACAAACTAACACTTGAAAATTTCACTTATTATCAGACCATCCAGATTACTTATTTTAGCTATAAAGGTTACCAAGATTAAACAGTTGTATATATATACGTCTTAGGGACTCATAATCACTTCAGTAAGACGACAGGTCATGCTAAGCAGAGTTTACCTCAAAATATCTTTACAGATGTAATATAATGTATTGAAGAATAGATCGGTAATATTTTGAAATTCTCGGAGTAGCCTAATTCCTAAATAAAGTAAATTCCTTTATAAAATAAACTCCATACTTTCATAAGCTTTAATTATACAATTATATTTAAGAGTATAACCAGCTTGCACATGTTTCAGTTTGTACCCTAACTTCAGTCAAGACCATTTCTGTATAAACTTATACATGATTTAAACCTACATTTCGAAATTTAGCTTAAGGATAAACCATAGCTTCCTTAAAACACAACGGAAGACTAACAGGAGTAGAGATAATTTAAAGCATGACGTGCCTTGATTCTATTCTATACACCTGTTCGTAGCCGCACAAGACAGCTATCGTTAGGGTATAAAATTAGAACTATTGATTTAAAACCCTTTCGTCCTTCCTCATTTTTCCGAAGACTAATTATGTTATACAGAATAAATATTAACACAGCATATAAGTATGCACTGACATTTAATAACACATCACTTTCGAATTGTTTTCTTTGTAAAGGTCAGAAATCGGGTACAAAAGTTCTACCTGATATACAATGTGAATCAACAGCAGCGATTTCAACAGCTTGTGAGAAACAACCACGAATGAGTATATTTATAAGAACCGCTGAATTTCTTCTTGAGAAAAATATGTTCTCTGTAAGTACACACTATAATTAAGTTGTTTCTGTGTGTTGTATAATTGTTGTTATGACCGGAACTACGACCTAGTTGACTATGAGCGAATATTAGCTTAATGCGCTGGTTAATCTGTCCTAATCGCACGTCAACAACAACAATAATAACACTGCCAGCAGGCAAAGACAAAAGAAAAGACTGGACGTCGATAAGAGGGCTTTTACTGTCTCAAACAACAGTCAAAATGTTAGACAGAAAATCTGTATATATACGGTTAGAATGACCTTGAAAGTGCAGTAATTCAGTGATGCACTAAAGTTTTAAAAGCCAGTAGGAATCTAGCAATCCAAACAGAGGGGAAAACAAAGGGCTCACGCCAGTGCACGATAACTCTTTAAGATAGTTATTTTAAGGTTTTAGGCAAAATTAGGCAAAACAATTGTTCATTATAAAAAATGAAGATTTTCACCAGATAAAAACCCTAGTAAAAACAAACCTGAAGATTAATTCCCTAGTCTCATGAAGTTAGGTTAGGAGTCATCACTTGCATATATTGTGTGGAAGGACTGTGACACACCTAAATTGCCTTATATACTGGGATCCGATTCATTTGCCCATGAAGTGCAACTTCTAACAGTAGCTGAATGGTCTGTGAGCTAGCCTTGTAGCCAGAAGATCCTGGGTTTGAACCTCGGGGATGCGTACTGCTGAAAAGTTATAGACTAGGGCGAAACAGCTGTCCATTACTCCCAGGTTTTCCAATAGCTGTCTGATGTTAACTCGTGATCAAATATGTAACCGGTCAAATCCCTGCAAGCCAACACTTCATAGTTATGTATTGGGTGTTCAAAAGTTTTCAAACAGTTATTTCTAGGCTATTTTCATATCATTCTTGTCAAGAATATTCGTTATACCCCTCTGAGAAAAGTGAAAGGAAACGTCAGTCACTGGTATTCGCTTGAGTTGAATGTCTTGATTGTTTGACCGCCACTATATGTCTAAATTGGCAAGAAATGTCTATAGGATTTTTAAACTGTCATTGGACCGCAGATTTCCTTTACTGAAGTTCCAACTGACAAATGATCAAGACTAGCTTACAATATTTTCTTTATATCTACAATTATTGTCCCGTTTGTATTTGATTTTCTTTATTTCAACTATTTTTTAGTTTGCATCTATTGCACTGGCTCATGAATTGATTGCACAGAAAAAAGATCTAGAATGTCAATCAGTGTCTGGTGATCCACAAATCCTCACAGCAAGTTCAGCGCCTAATTTACAATCACAAAATGATAGTCATACACCCATGCCAACTCAAATGTCTAGTGATAATCGTAATCAAACGAACTTCTCAGCTACCGCTCTGTCATCATTAACCAATCGAGTCTCATCAACAAATACATTATTTAATCGTGTATCCAGTTATCACTTACTCTGTGCGCGTTTAGCAATGAGTTCGCATAAACAAGATCTATCAGAAGCTGAATTCAATGTCAGCTTAATAATTGAAGCTGATCCAGAAGCTATTGAAGCTTGGGCATGTTTAGGTCATTTGCGTTATATAACTGGGGATTTGAATGCAGCACGAGCATGTTATGAACGTTGTTTGGCTTTAATGACATGGCCTCCTAAAGATCAACACAGTCTATTTATGAGATTAGGTTCAATTTACTTACAAGAACAAAAGGTTTGCATAATATGCATAAAATGTTTGTGTTTTCCTTTTATAAGAATAACTTTTTAAAAGTTATGATGAGATTCGACTAAATTAATATTATTTTTAGTATTCATGAGTCTTTAAAGCATTGTTATGTAATCACGTGATAATGTAACATCGATAACACTGGGTTACTTATGTTTGATGACTGTTAGCAAGCAGCTCGACCGACAGGTCGTCAGGCTTAAATATTGCAATGACCCAGTGAGCTGCAGTGGCTGGGACGAATGTTCCTGCAGGTCCTACCATCCCGAAAGGTTGTCTGGATAGCTGTTAGATTGAAAGTTAATTACACTATGTTGGGAGTCTGTAGGCGAATTCATGCTGCTGATGAATACGGGTTTAACCACAATATAGTGTTTCCCTCTGTTGACCAACAATGCCGCAACACTGCTGTGGGGAATGGAGGCTAGGAAATGCCAACCCAATAAATTGTATGACTCAACTTACACTGCGGCGGCTCACAGTCGGCGGTAAGACCTAAATACGGACGCAACTCTGAAAACCACTCCAAACAGGCTGTGTGCCCCAACCAGTTGTTCCCTATGCTGTGTGGTAAAGAAACACTAAAATGCAGAATCTTCCACACACTTTGAACAGAAATCTTGTGTTTGGCACCTGGCTCGTCCCTACTGAATGTAAAATGATGCTTCAGGACTGGTCTACACAGACTACTAGACTAGAGATAGGGAGTGAAGTGGTTGAGCAGGCCACTTATTTAGGAAGTCCCACTGGCCCTAATCAACTCGTTAGTGACAATATCTTAGCACAGAAACAAAAGACTCATGTTGTGTTTGCCAACTTACGTCATCTCTGGTGTAGACTTGATACCCGACTACCGACCAAATGAACGTGTGCATTGCTCAGTAGTTCGCTCTGCCCTCATTAATGGATGTGAGACATGTCCATTCCAAGTGGAAGATGTGAAAAGGCTAGCAGCGTTTGATCGCAGACGTTTGTTTTAGTGTTAAGTGGTAGATAGGTTTTCGCATTCTAATTCTCATGTTAAGTGATATAACGTCGTGAGGGATATTTGGATTAGGCACAGAATGTAAGATAGGTCAGTTGATGAGGTTGTGAAGCTACATCGATAGAGATTGCTAGGACACGTGTTACTCATGCTGAGCCATCGCCTTAAACGTTGAGTAATGTCAGTTGATATAAGATTAGGTTGGAAAAATGTTAGCAGTGGTCAAATCAAACCTGGCACCAATCCATAGAATCTTTAACTGTTGGTTTGAGCCCTGTAAAGAGGTGTGGACCACCTAGGTGGGGTCGTCAAGATACTAAAAACCAATGGCTTGAGACTATCGGTGATATGGCTCAAAATTGTTCTCAGTGGTGCAAATGCATTCACTCTACGTAATCTTCAAAATCTATGATATCTTCATGATTCCTAATTAGTACTTTTCCGTTCGTTATTGTTCCACTGAGTTTTTTCTTTATCTTTATGTGCTATGTGGAGTGTAGCGACTTGTACTGATGCACTTTTGTGCAAACATCTACGTTGAGAACTCACTCAGCTGGCAGGCAATGTCTTACGATTATACTGCTCCCTACATACTGTACCCTGGTATCCATGATATATATATATTCTCAGAATGAGGCTGTTACTGGTTGCTTTTTACATGGGATTTGAAATTCGGAAACTTCATTTTTGAATTATTATCTTAACTGACAAAACAAATAATTATCATTGCATCTTTCTTCAGTTTCACTGAGTAAATGAAAGCTAAGGAAAGTATTAAAAAAGTATTTGGGATATTGTTAATGTTACATGTACATTCACTTTAAATAAAATGACCAGTTTGTATACTCTGATGAGCTTACAACCCTTTTCATGCTTTCCTAATTGCTCAAATCAAACGTCAAATATCTGAAGAGATTTTCTAGATGTGACTGAGTCAATGAGATCAATAGAATCTAAGTAAAATAACGGTAAGGGAAAAGTCTACATTACGTGAAGTCATTAATGAACATTACTTAAGTATCTATGATACTAAGGTCTCAGTAGATCCGTATCGTAACTATTGTGTGTATTACTGTTCATCCCTGTCTTAACAGTCGAAATGGATATTTCTTACTGTCATCTCTTGTAAGTTAGAGTAACTTCTAGCTGTTACTAAGCGCTTTACAACTACAATATGTTGTATAGGATAATAAAACATACTGAACAAAGTAAACTGTTGTGCAATGTTATGTCGGCTTAGAATGTTACAATTTTAGTCATCACAGTAACAAATAAGTGAAAAACGTTTACACCTTCAACGTACACTTCAATTTGACTTCAAATTGAAGTATGCGCTGAAGTTGTTGCCTAGTAGGGCAATGAAAGCTTCGCAAATAAACTATCCAGCTCAGAGAACACAACTACATCAAAATCATCCAACTGAGCTACTAATCTTCTCCATTACATTTAACTGTTTACACGTTCAGCTTATTTTAGAACACCAACAGTTGTCTTTTACATTCTGATTGACAGAACTACTTCAATAAACAATCTAGCCTCGCCTGTTCATAAACACAAAAGTTAGTAGGGTTAGTCAATATATACTAATTTATTGCTTTTTATTTTTCTTTTGCGGAATTTATTTCAGTATTTGGAAGCCAAAGATATTTATTTACGTGCCTGCAAACACTCACCAACTTGTGCCACTTGGTTAGGTGTTGGTAAAGCATGTTTCAGAGTAAGTTGTCAAGTAGTTTACTTCACTACATAACTTGTTTGCTACGAAAATAAAACGAGATCTAACTTAGAATATATGCCTTTATGAAATGTTAATTATTAACTTATAAATTTTAACTGTGACATATTCAGTTACAGGATTTCATCATGAGCTGACATCAGTTAGAGAGCCATTGGAAAACCCACCTGAGAGTACTGGATAACTGTTTCGTCGTAGTTTGGGACTCTTCAGCAGTATACACCCGTCATCAGGGTTCGAATCCAGGACCTTCTGGTTACAAGGTGAGCTCGTAGACCATTAAGCCATTGGGACCCGATCCAATGGCCCATGAAATCCAACTTCTGCCAATTCGCGACATAGCGTGACCACTTCGCAATGTCTTCTTCGATGAGTAATTGTCCTCACTTTCAACCTGCTGTACCCTACTGGTCACGACTTCCCACTAGAACCCCAGGTTACTACCTACCTGAATAGGGCCAGTAGCTAGTCACTAATGAGCATCTCATTGATATTCAAGTATTGGTTTCTAGGGATTTGATTGATTGGTTACAGGATTTCATCATGAGCTGACATCGGTTAGAGAACCATTGGACATATATATTTGTTATATTTGGTAAAATGCTCGTTGGAACTTGATATTCACAGAGTAGTAAATTTATTAGATAACTCGAGAGTCGCATAAAGATTTCATGAGTACATCGATGCAGAAATTAATTGAAGAATCATTAAAAATCAAGGAGCACTATATAACTGTTTTATTAGGGTGTGAAAGAAGTCAGTTGTATGCATTCCTGATCGGACACAAACGTGAGGGTAGATATTTTAGGCCAAGCAGCTAGTATGGTAATATTCAACTAATGAATCAAGGTAAGAATATAACACAAACAAGAGGAAGTTGCAAAGCACCAATCATGTAAGCGAAATGTAGTGTGAATTCAATTTTTCAAAATGATTTAAAATGGATAGTATATCAATGGAGTGAAACACATGGAATCAAGAAAACATGAATATATTGAGAAAGTGAAATAATTTGTTTAGTATATAAGAAAATGTAAGACACATCAAGCTGAGTTTTAAGAAATTCAAATGTTTTAATTAGGGCTTTATTTTCATAGACATTCTTAATACTACCGACTACTCCCGTATGCTTTTAGGCTTCCCATTTACATATTCTTGAATATTAGTTGTTAGACTTTCGTCACGAACCAACACCAGCTAAAGAGATCATTGAAAATCAGGCAGTACCGTCCAGTTGTTTCGTCCTATTTTGGGACTCTTTACAGTGTGCATTGACGCCCCTATCCAAGTGTCTGAATGGTCAGCTGACTTGGTCTCGTAACCTGAAGGTCTCGGATTCGATTCCTGGAGGGGTCGTGGTTTCGAACTGATGAAGAGTCCCAAAATAAGGCGAAACAGCAGCCCAGTGCTCCCTGGTTCTTAATAACCTCTGTAATTGATGTTGTTTCGTAGTGAAAACCTAACAACTTAAATTAATTCAAAATATTTTAGCTAATTAAAAATACCCACTAAAATTTTCAAAAGAATGGTTACTGAACAAAGAATATTCTTTTCGAAAACCTGAGCTTCATCAGATTCCATATATATACATATATATACATAATAGTGAATGAATTAGTGCTATTATTAACAATATTATTGTTGTTTAAATAATATCGAATTAATAATATCAATAGATTACAGTTCGATAGCATCAACATAACAGTACACTAAATATCAGAGAAATTAGGAAAGATAATAATACAAATTCATGAATTTATAGTCTCCACTGAAGGCCGGTCAGGGTAGTAGTGTGGTGAGAGCTGTCTACTAGCCAAGTGGTGGACAGTAATTGAGGTCAATGTTTATGTATCAAATATTAGTCATGTTGTGGTGAGAGATGGTTGCTGGCCAAATTGGTTGACAGTAATTGAGGTCAAAGGTCAAGGTGGACAGGCGGTTACAGTTAACATATAGATGAACTGACACAGCCACAAGAGATGCAAGGTTAACTTTGTGTGAGAAACAACCAATCAACAGACTGTATTTTCTACTAACATTGACCTACAATAATGTACATAAAAATCTATAAATACGTGTTGATTTTTCGTAATAAACGATCTGTTGCCTGGCCCTTGTCTTCTGTTGTTACATTTGGTGTCGCTGCCTACCGACAAATGGAAAGCCTATGCCCTGCAGTTTTTGATGGAGACATATGGATCTTCGCGCAGGACTTCGAGGCTTCTTCGCAGTTGAGTGGCGTTCAAGATCTGTCAGCGATGAGGCTGCTACTTGAGACGCTGCCGGGAGGTCGGGAGAAAGCAGCAGATGGAAGTGTGAGGCGAAATACCTACGAATGTGCGACAGGGTCAGGCAAACAGTTTCCAAAGTGGGAAGGACCATATATGGTCACCTTGAGATGGGGTTACGCAGACACAATCGCAATGGTAAACACCGTTAAACAAGTGGACATCCGCAAGCGCCGAGATTCCAGACAGCAAGACAACAGAGCAAAGCCCCAAGAACCGAGAAGACCGAGCCGAGTTCAGTCCAAACTATTTGACGGGGGGACGAGTGTGGTGAGAGCTGTCTACTAGCCAAGTGGTGGACAGTAATTGAGGTCAATGTTTATGTATCAAATATTAGTCATGTTGTGGTGAGAGATGGTTGCTGGCCAAATTGGTTGACAGTAATTGAGGTCAAAGGTCAAGGTGGACAGGCGGTTACAGTTAACATATAGATGAACTGACACAGCCACAAGAGATGCAAGGTTAACTTTGTGTGAGAAACAACCAATCAACAGACTGTATTTTCTACTAACATTGACCTACAATAATGTACATAAAAATCTATAAATACGTGTTGATTTTTCGTAATAAACGATCTGTTGCCTGGCCCTTGTCTTCTGTTGTTACAGTAGTAGTGGCTGGTTGGACTTTCTTCTTTTGCACACAAAGCACTGGTTGTTTCAGGCGAATCGCGATATCCTCTGCGGTTTGGAGTATGCAGTACCTGGATGTTTTTGGCAATTTATTTGGTACTCGGTAAATGATAGTGAAGGATTTTTCCATTCTGGCTTTGTGGCCATTTTGAACCAGGTGTTCTAATATGGAGCTATTGATGCTCTTAACTACACCTTTACTTAGCCATACTGGTAGATGTTCCCGAGTGAGCACGAAAAATCAAGTTCTTAGAGCAACGGACATTCTTTTTGAAAATTTTAATCCGAAATACCCGCAAATCCTATAATTTGAATATCGCTGATTTCTTTTCAGAAATAACTTTAACATTTTATGACCGCCAATCTCAACTGATATAAATTGTCTCAAACTTAGCTAAATGGTAAACGTATAGCATCATAAAAAGTAGGATCATTTCTATGATTTGATGGCTGACTGACAAATCAGAATAGAAAAATTGATCAGAAGTACATTGACTTAACCTGACAAAATCTGACAAACAACAAAATGGAAGTGGACACGAAGAAAATGACACAAAAATAGGTAAACATGAGTGCGAGTGGAAATAAGTGCATGAAAAATATGAAAATATTCATGATTTTAAATACAGCTTTGCCTTTGTAAGTAGTTTTGTGTTATTTCACATTTGGTTCACAGTATCCTGACAACTTCAACCTGGTATGAAAATATCAGGATCTCCATGGATTAGCACTATAGTTTGGTCTAAGCACCCCATTACCCCTGAAGATAAGACAACATAGTACAGGGATTCATGTTTAATAAAAACAATCAGTTTTTTAAATAATACATTCCTTACGAAGTATTCTAGATATTGATTTATCCTATTTCTCTTAAAAGTTAGGAGAATTAGAAAATGCTGAAGAGGCTCTTACTGAAGCTAATTACATCAATAATAGAAACCCTGAAGTTTGGGCTTATCTGTCCATGGTATGTTTAAAGACAAATCGACGTACAGAAGCTGAACAATCTTTTAAATATGCCATAAAGGTTAGTACGTCTCTATTTATGCTTAATTTCATACACTTACCAATAATTTTTGATATTCACAGTATGCTAGAGCATTTAAAATCGAGATTGTATGTTACCGAAGTACTGAATGTCATATCAGACGACATGTTTCAATTTGATGGTTTTTCAAAGAAGGAATAGAACTTTTCATAGATTCAAAAATATCATCTCCTCTAGAAATGAATATTTAAATAAAAGAATATATATGACGTCTACAATTGTGCGTCGGTGGCACAGTGGTTAGGACTCTCGCCGACCATGCACATGGTCCGGGGTTCGATCCCCTGCCGACGCACACCCGATATCTATGGTCGGCCTGCGATATTTGGGCTACCGATATCCATGCTGAAAATACCATACTTGTACTGAAAATACGGTGTGGCATCAAGCTGTAATCAAAAATCAATAAATACTTAGGAAGAATGTTAAAGAAAACTACATAAATTCACACTTACAGTATGACTGTTAATAGGCATTTCATATACTCTGCCTCAATAAGCGAAGACAAATCAATATAGAATGGAACCGATAATTATGTATTTTATCAGTCACAAAAGACGATTAAAAACATCCAACTTTATTGTCTGCCCTTGCATATTTTTGTTCTGAAATTCAAAAACCGTAGAGACCAGAAATAACTGAATGCTTGGCATGATCTCTTTGATTTGTGTTTTAGCTGTCTTTTTGAGTTCAGAATCAGTATTTCATCCCTCCTAACTGTTCCCGAAGCTAACGTTGTTTATTTATCTCAGAAGTAACCACTTCTGTTGTGTCTGAATTTGTGAGCCTTGAGTTCAGACGGTTTCTGATGAAGCATAATACTGGAGCGAAATCGCCTGACAGTTTGGGCGTGGCAATATTTGCAAACACATATCTATAGATGTGGTAGGATAAACTTACTGGAATTTATTTATTGACTTAGATGGCATAATCAGCTTTGTCACAACAGTGACTTGCTATTTTCGGGTTTGACTGTTATTGTGGTGAGAGCTGGTTGCTAGCCAAAGTTGGTAGGCAGTAATTGACGTCAATGTTTATGTCCCCAATATTGGTGGTGAGAAAATGAGGACAAAGGCTTTGCGTAGGCGGACACAGTTAGCATATGGATGGTCTGATACAGCCACAAAGAGATGCAAGGTTAACTTTCTGTGAGAAACAACCAATCAAAAGACTGTATTTTCTACTAACAATAATCTACAATAATGTACATTAAAATCTATAAATATGTGTTGATTTTCCTTAATAAACGATCTGTTACCTGGCCCTTGTCTTCTATTGTTACATTATCATCTTTTCATTAGTTCTCAGATGCTTTAGAGAAAGTACTTCTGACTATTTGAAGCTGTCTCTTGGTTGGTTATCTCACTCTGTAATGATGCATATCGTGTTTCAAACTATTCAACAATGCTTTTAATTACTAAGGTTTGTGTTACTATTCCCGTAAAGATGATATCTTTGACTCTCACTGGAACTTAATATTCCCTTTGAGGGAATTCTAGCCTGCTATGAATTGATGATGGTATCTCACTCGAGTATTTTTCAACCATCAGTTAACTGGAATTTTTGATTGTACTCTCTTTTAACTTATCAGATACCGCTAATAAGGCACTAATAACAAATGTAACAACGGAAGACAAGGGCCAGGCAACAGATCGTTTATTGAGAAAATCAACAGATATTTATAGATTTCTATGATCATTATTATTTGATATCTTAGCAGAGAAGCAACGTCTAGTGATTAGTTTTTCTTGTTGAAGGTTATTCTGTACTGCTTGTCACCGTTACTTACAAAGTTATCTATATATCTGCGAATCGTATTTGCACCCGCTAAGTCTGCTGTGATTGGTTGTTGAGTTCCTCAAGGTTAGGCTTTATTCTTGTTTTTCCTCATGACCCCGATTAGGGATGTAAACACAGACGTAAATTGTTGTTTGCAATTTTGGCTTGCAGACAGCTCTCACCACACAAAGTGTAAGGAAATCTAATGTATCAAATACCATGCTATTACCATATGACCAAGTAGATATGTTAGACTCACCAGTCGGAACTAATTATGCAGTCCGAATTTATCCAAATCTCTAATGACGAACTGCAATAAAATGATTCCATTATGGATAAAACTTTATTTTGATAAAATCACACAGTGTTATACAGTAATATTTACTGATGACCACGTTTCGAGCACAATTTATTGCTCATAATCATAACAAGGTACTCACATAACTTTTTTGCTTCATTTATATACATGGGTAAAATCTGATTAGACATTTGAATAAAATCAATATTAGACATGCGTGAAACAGGAAGGAAGATAAAGTACATTCGGAACCAATATTAGTGTTATCAATAACTATAACATGATGAAAATTAAGCAGAGTGTTGTTCGTCAATAAGATGGGAAATCAGATGTTTTTATAGTAAAAATGAGTAACTTGTTAGAGTGTTATAATGTGAATTGAATACATTTTAACATTATTTATTATCCTCAGATTTGATTGGTGGTAGTATTATCTTCCATATCTTCGGTATTTGCGTTGAGTCACTTCTATTGCATATGTTGGGTGTAGACTCGATGAACCAGGATTAAGTAATCAATGTCTCTGCATCTACACCTACCTACATTACTTTTGTGTAGTTGTGTGTTAACGCATGCAGTGCGACTGCTGAGTTTTTTTCCAAATTACTTATACAAAGAAACTCAGGTATAGATAATCAGAAAGCTAAAACACTATGCGAAGGGGTAGAGTAACAATTCTGAAAGCTACTATTGAACATACAACCGATATTAATGAGATTTTACACAATGCTGAGAAAAGTTAGTAATACTAATTAGAAAGAATAATAAGATTATCGATGCAAGAAATAAATTTTTACCCTAATGAACATAATATAGAAGTTAGGGTAAATAAAGTGCTTATACACTTGAAGACTAATTTTCAATAATTAAAAATACGCTATATTTTACACCATAGACTTTTTACTTCAAATACACGCTGTTTCAAATATTCTAAACCATGACATTAACATTAAAAAGGGGTCCTGTACGATTCCAGCCGTTTAAACATGTACACTAACTTTAGCTCTAACCGATGCGAATTCACATTTCAGAGGGAATATGATTTCTTTCAGGAATGCAAACTTGACATTTACGTTAAGGGTTTTCTAATGACTAACTTATCTCAAAAGTGAATAGATAAGATTGTAAGTTTCAGCTGAAAGTGTATAGAAAAATAGCAATTTTTTAAAATTATAAGTGCAATTTAGAAATTATATTCAGAAGTTCTCAGTTGTCACTAATTTTCACCAAATTTACATGTAACAAGGGTGACTCAGTACAACTACCAACAACTTGGAATATAATTCTGGATACAAAAACATGAACTAACGTGGAATATAACTCAAATACAAAAAAAAAAACATGAATGAGCAAAAATAATGAACTATATATATGAGTACAAATCATAAATGTGTGAATCAAACAATTCCAACAGTGGTGTGAACACGGGCAGTAATTTTGCTCGAAATATTACCAATAACAAAACTTATCATTGTGTGTAAACTATTGAAATATAATTATACTTTATTTGATCTAATCCACAATGCTCAAACTTTTTACTGATATTAATTTACCCATACTCTTTTTCCTTTCAGACAAAATTAGAAGATAATGAACTATTGAATGAAATTCAAGCTCTTCAACTTGAAGTTGGTTGGGGTAACCCATTGGCTTATTGGGAGACATCATATTCACAGTAATCAATCGTCATGAAAATACTTTGTAGTGAACATTTTCTACTTTATTAATAAAACCACTTTGTATTTTACATAAGGTTTTAACTACTTGTCAAGTAAGATAACTACCAGTCAAGTGATGTTTTAGGAACCGATTGCTATAATGAACTACTTAACAGTAGTTATCAAGTTCATATTAGCTGGCAGCTCTTCATCAGTGAACATCCGTCGCAGGATGTTAACTCTGTTTAAAAAAGAATTTTGAGTTTAGTAAAGCGAAAATACTTCTGAAAAACTTGTCCATCCAGTATATAGTAACGAAATGACTGAATATTGTTGCTAAATATGAATGATGTTTTAGATGAGAGGATGTCCACGTTTACGCGATATACGTCACATTTGCACCCAAGTATTTATCCTATAACAGCCAAAGTACCTATCCTACTGCGACCAGATACAAATCAGAACACTAGGTTGATCAGAAACGTTGAGTGATGACTGTTTGACTAGCTAGGGATCGTGCACGAACAACTAGACGTTTCACGACAGCTTGCTAAATGACGTGGATGCTTAACAAGCAGATTTAAACAGTGAAGGTCAGCACCCAATGTTGGGTGAAGGATGCTGTAAATTGTTGGTATTAGATGGTTGGAGGAAATCGGCAGGAAGCCTTGCCTGATCTAGGTTTCGTGCTAGTTGGTACTCACCAGTCAGCAAGGCGTATCTGCTACCATGAAGAAACTCATGTCCCTTCTGAGATTCGAACCCGCGTCACCCAGTGCTGCAGTCAGAGACGTTATCACTGAGCTATCCAGGCTCGCGATTGACCTCCTGTAGGACTACATTGGATATTGAGAATTCCCAGTGCACCGTGATGGCGAGCCACCTAGCTTGGTGGCCGCATAGCAAACGTGACTGATAGAATTCAGTCTACAACAAAGATATGACTAGACACATTACACTAGTTCCTGACTAGTGTCCAATCAAAAGAGGAATGTTGTAGACTAATAATTTTGTGGAATTATTTCCCGATAGAATGTAATTACTTTTGTTTCGCTTTATCACATACACATTATATCCACAAATTACAATACTAACCAATCCTATCGATGTGCAGTACAACAACAGATGTGTTGCTGATTGCCTTAAGGCATGCAGAAGCAAATCAGCACTCCTAGATGCCTATTGTAAGTATAAATGAGAATAACCAATAGATCAAGTGAGTATAAATGCAACTTCCTACAGATCTTATGTTCACTCAGAATAAAATGTCAAACAGAATAAATGGGACAACTGAAAGAGTGTTCTAATGGGGTTTTATAATATGCCACCAGCAGGAGCCGTAAACTGCTAAGTGATCTGTCAAACGGTAGTTACATATATTATTCCGGGTAAATTTCTTCCTGCTGCACAACGAAATTTTTCTGTGGAACCAGTAGTTACACAGTAATAATATTTAGTCATCAATAACAAATTTCGGCTGGACAGCAATGAGGGAAGATTTTTAATAAAGGTCAGTCTCTAACAATCGATAAATGACAGGCAGTGTTATAGATGAAGAACCGAAAAATAGAATTAATTTACTGAGATTGTTTTGAATTTACTAGACTAAAACGGTCTGTCTGTTTTGACATACAGATCCCAAGCACATACGATGCCTTCAGGTAAGTTTGGTAGCGGCTTGTAGTAAAACCAGGACATACGTCTTGCCGTACTTTGAAATCGCCAGCTGGATCCACCCCCATCTCAGTGGGCGGGTTTCCTGGATTCCACTAATAGTAACCTTTGAAATTAGTAACAGTGCATAACTGTTGGATGTCTCTAGTCTCGTAAATGCAATTCGTGATTTAGAATGTCATCAACCACACACTGGTGGCATTCGAGATAATGAGATGCCCATTTTAATTTATTTAGATATGAGTCCCTATATGATGGCAACACGTATAAATATAACGATCCGAATCAATATTACTTTCCTCGATGGAAGCGTGTTGTTGAAAACTATGAAGGTATTTAGTGACAGAAACTAGTTAAAAATTTGATGACACTATACGTTTAATCAAATGGGGTTATTGAGCAAATGAATGAAAATGGTATGTTCAGATGCCTAATAGAAGTGAGAATATAAAGAGACAATTGCGCAAATCAATCGACTTCCAAATAAGGTTAGCTAGTGAATCTAACACAGAGGCATAATGTTTTCACAGAGAACAGCGAATTAGTTTGGAACACTTTATGTATTCAAGGGTGAATTTCGTTCAAAAATCGTTGTCTACATCTAAATGTAGGCAGGTTCGATTCAAGCATCAAGAATAACTTGGATTACTTTGGACTCAATAAGATATAATAATAATAATTTGCTTTATTCCAGAAACAGTACTAGTGGTACAGTGTGGAATTTTCAGCACATATCTATAATATTTGCATCTAATTTTATCCAACGTTTAAAAGGATTATTTTCAAAAAATAAATAAATATAAAGACAACAACAGCAAAAAAAAACACAGAAAACACAAAATATTATTTTTAAAACGCAAAAAAATACCAAGAAGTAGAAGGGAAAATAAACAGCATATAATAATATCTCAATATTGGGTAGTGGAAGCTATGATGTGATTATGCATGGTGACAGTAAAGCTATAGTCATACAAGAAGTTATGAACTGATATTTAAGAATGATTATCGCCAAGCTGTTCAGTTAATTTGGTTGAAACAACTCTAAAGAATCATAAAATAACATTTCAGGGTTGTTGTTTTGTTTTTTATTGTCAGGTCTAATGCAGTGTTTGTAGTGGTAGTGTGAGTAATCCTGCATAATACAAAATTTTAAGGTAATGATAAGGGCGTTCACAAACAATGATTGTCAGTTAATATTACCGAAAAAAATAAAAAATAAGAAAAAAACAACCACAAAAACTAATAATTACATGATGGTTAACGACTGGACAATTTTGTACTACTCATAGTGCTAAGATAGTCGGAACCAGTAGATACACAAAAGAAGGAATACAGTAAAGTACAAAAAGTAAGCCAATGTTAATAATTTAGGTAGCTGAGTATGTTTAAGAAGGAGTTCACTATAGAATACAAGATAAAAGAGAAATAAAAGAGCCTAAAATTATGTTATTAACAACAAAGCAAGTCATAGGTTTCGCGCTTAACATTGTCTCTGTCGCCTAGAACACGGGCCAAGTATGGTATCGTTGAGTTCCTGTACTTGGTTGTACGAGCATAGATTATTTTTTACTGATTTCTGGTTCTTCCTGACGAGATACAAGGAGAGAGTTGGGAATAGAGGGGGTGTTGAGGGTCGGAGAGTATGGTTGTAGACCATTTTTTGCATTATTCAGATGACTTTCAACTAATGTAGTGACGGGCTGACTGAGTTTTACACCACTAGTCCTACTAACTACTTTCAACATCCTTCTCAGGATGGTATAGTTCTTTTTCAGTAGCCCTGGAAAGATTGACGGGGAGCAGTAAAGTAGAATAGGTAAGATACAAGAGTTGACAAATTGTGAAAGTAGAGGTTGGGTGATTCCAGATTGTCTTAGTTTCTTAATGTAGTAGGTTAGACAGAACACTTTCTTAGAAATCGTTAGGATATGAGATGTCCAAGTAAGGTCGGAAGACAGAACTAGACCGAGGTATTTTGCAGTAGACTTAGTTTCGATTTTAGTCCCCTCAATGCAACAGGCTTCATGAGAACTTACTAGTGTTTGTAGATCTCGTTTATGCCTAAGGGAGAAGTCAATAATCTGGCATTTTGACGGATTCAGCATGAGACCATTTAGTTTAGACCACTGACTGATATCCGACAGGAAGCTATTTAATTTGAAACAGTCTGGCTGACACTTAATGGGAAACGATACAGACAGGTCATTTGCATATTTGACGAAGTTGATTTCATCTGAAAGAGAATCATGTAAGAAGAAAGAGAAACGGAGGAGAACAGCACCCTGAGGAACTCCAGCTTCAGTAAGCAAAGGAGAGGAAGATACACCATTATGTACCGTGTACTGCATCCTATTAGAGAAGTAAGAGTGTAGCCAGTTGATACCCCAGGGCTCAGTTTGTGTAAGGCTAAGCTTGTTTAACAATAGGCTCTAGGTCAGAGTCGAACAGATGTATATGAAGACTTACAGCGTTTCATGCAGATCTGTCAAAATTTCACTTCTTTTGATGATAAACATTACCAATCTAGTGTGTTCTTCAATTTCGAACATATACATTTGATATCTCAACAACAAAGAAATATGATCGCTGTAATCATGGTAATTACAGGCGTCTTCAGAGGATAAGACCTTAACGGTTGAAAAATGCTACAAACAACAAAAGAACTTCTGTTGAGATTCACCCTAAATGTCAAATTCTTGTTAAATAATGAAATACATAGACAAAAGAATGGTATAGGCAGTGGTTCAACACTACGCCCTGAATTTGCATACTTTTATGTCAAAACCTGAAGACAGTGATGAACGATAAGTAGATGATACTTTTATTTAATTATATTGAGAATGAATATACTGAAAGCTTCATCACAAAATCCACGAAGCCTACACCGAAAACATTTACACTTTTTGTTCCCAAAATCCCCTCTATCCGAATCCGCAAATCAATGGATATTCATTGGGGAAAATAGTAAGAAACAGTTTGTCCCGTCCATTGAAGAAAAACTTTGCAGCTGAATTTTCACTTACACTCCGTATTATTGATGCATATTGATAAATGGATGACATTTAGAGCACAAATTATTGCTCATAACCATATCGATCTAGCCACATGGCTTGATATATATATATATATATGTCTGTTGCCACTTTCCATATCTCCGGTATAGGCGCTGCGTCATTTCGACTGCACATGTGCAGTGCTGAATCAGTTAAAGATTCAGTGGTTAAGCTCTCTCTTCACTTAACTATATCACTTCTTAATACGTTCACCCTATCCCAACCTATCGGGTGATTATAAGCAAGTGAATGCAATGTAATGGCCAAGCTTTTCTCTAAGTTATTTAACTTATTAGGGTCAATTATTCTAGGTTTACCTAAATTTTTATGTTTCAATAATCTAGTTGACCCTGATCTACTAGTTTGATCTCACAGTTATTACATGGTATTTGGAAAATTTCATTACTTTTCCTAAATGGACTTACTCTCTCAACAAAACCAATGATTCGAATGCATGCGAAGGATTAGCTACCACCATTGCTGGCATATATCAGTTCACCTGTTCCTATGGTGCTAGGCATGCTGGCCTTAACTATCCAAGCGTATCAGTGAAATTTACTCTCATGATTTTACAGATGAGAAAAAAAGATTTCCCCGGTGCTCCAATCTGGAACACCTGATAGATTTTGACCACTTACTGAACTCGCGAACTTACTTTCAGAGTCACCAACGTAGTATGCAGAAATCTTGCCAAGGGCGTACGAATCAAACTTTTTCAATGACAATCTACAAGTTAAGTCCTGAACTCTGTAAACAGAAGAAGTTTGTTCAGTCACTGATTTCTCTGAAAATATTTTTATTTTTTTCTCCTTCTCACTATTACACTCCTACTTCTAATGACAACGATCCTGATATGATGTTTTTCCAATTTTAGTCACCCAATTTACTCAATTAATTTGGCTTTAGTCTTTACCTGATAACAGTTTTTGTATTACGTAATTTGAAATCTCTTGATTGTCATCTAAAACTCGAAATCTTAATGACACATCTTTGGAAGCAATCCTGTTTTTTGCTAACAAAAATCTATTATGTATATGCGATCGTACAACTTGAGAATGATATAACTGTGAACGCCTTTTCTTTTACAGGAAAACTATTACCACCTGGGTAAAATATTCAGATTTATATAGGAAGTATTAACTTCTTGAAGTATTCTAGTTACCACTTAGGCGTAGAATTACACAACACAACTGAGACATGAATTCTCAAAGTATGAAAACCTACTAGAATGCCAAACCAAACAAATTTATTCAGAGATCAAGTGAACTATGGGTCTGAAATAAGATACCACTTTCAACTTAGCTTAACCACTCCCCATGCTATATCATTTTTTAAATTTCCTTTACTTTTCCGGTGGAACATAGGGCTTCAGGCTAGAGGCTTGAAGTTTCGGTATCAGTGGTGTTTACTTTTACGGCATGGGGTCGCTAGCCTCATGTCCAACCTTCCCTCTTTACCAGTCTTATTACTGGCTTGTAGGGGTAAAGGAGTGCGTCTGTGGCCGGGGATTGAACTCCGGACCAAATGGGGCGTGGTAGGCGAGCATTCTACCACTGTGCCACCGACGCACCAACAATAGAAATGAATTTCACTCAATGTAAGGATAAATATATGTATTTTGAAATTAAACTTCTTCCAAAATATGCATACAATGAATATTGAAGACAATCGTATGAAAGACAAGAATGGAAGCAATAATAAAAATATAAATTAAAGACTCCAAATGAGATAGAAATAATATTAGTATAATCTTTTTTCTTTAATAATTACAAAACATAATGATCACAGAAGTAGAAAATAATAAGATATTATTATCAGTAGTAAATAATAATAATGATAATATTAATAATAATAACAATCATGATCAGTTCATCTCATATGAATTATATGTGGTCATATAACAGTGAACAGTCTCATTGTTTCTTGCCTATTGGTTTCCGTCGTGTACGTACACGCCAACCTTCTGTATGCTCAGCTAAACTATCATACCACTGGTCAGGTAGTAGAGGAAAGTAACTGTGCAGTTGATAAAGGAAACGTTCACGATACAAATCAGGTGTAAGTATAGTTGGCATTGGACCTTGTGCACTAGTTATCGTCTGTTTAATAATCATTTCTAAGCGTTTGTCTAGGGTGAATTTACGCAAATAGTCAATTAAACCGACTACAAGTTGATTAGATGTTGTATCCACACCAACCAATAGTGAATAATCCATAATGAATAAATTGGCTAAAAATGTTGTATCTGTATTCAAACAGTGTGATAAAGCATTCTACAAAAAGGAAAAAAGAAACAAGGCAGCAAAGATGAACAATCAATGTTAATTAATTCTATTGGATGAACATAAATTATTGGTTAAAGGTTTTCATCACTAGCTGACATAAGTTAGAGAACCGTTGGAAAACCTGGAAGTACTGGACAGCGGGATTCAAACCTAGATGAGTGCGTAATGCTGAAGGGTCCCAAACTAGGACGAAACAGTTGTCAAGTACTCCCAGGTTTTCCAATGGTTCTCTCAATGATATCATCTTATGATGAAGTCCTCCAACCGATCAAACAAAATCTCTATAAAACTAACACTTGATAGGACAGAAATTACGACTGTGCGGCTAAATAACTGAGTTTTTGACGTAGAACTTTCCCCAGAAATGCAACAGTTTAAGTTGCCACAGACGTAGGAAAAAGAAATTCAAGGGAACTGTAATAAGCAGAAATGTGAGGAAGAAAGAATAACTACAAAAAGGAAGATTAGTACTTAATGGATCTGGGGGACTACAAAGAATGAATGCATCTGCACTACTGAGAACGTTTTTTCAACCACATCACCAACAGTTTTAAGCCATTGGTTCTTAGAATCCAATGTATGCCTAATCCATCCATCTCCATCTTCTCCTACACAGAGTTTCTTGTTGCTTATTCTTTCTGGTCATTTGATCTTCAGTATGGAGCCAGCCAGAGAAGGTAGCAGCTGATGATGAAAGTCTGCACTGGCCTGTTGGAAATCCTTCTCGTGACACGCTGGCCAAGTTTCTGACGCATACAGAAGAACCGAATTCACACTGGTTTGAAAATGAGTATCTTCTTATTTATGCTGGCTGAGTTAGTGCAGAAGATTTCCAAACTGGTTTCAGGTTGATGAAAGCGTATCTCTCCTTTCTGATTCTGACTTTGACAACTTTATCCGTTCTGACTGCCTTTAGTTGAAACGATGATTCCCAGATAAGTGAAGGAGGCAACCTCTGTTAAATCTCTCCCGTTGATGGTGATTGGTGCTGGTTGTTGTTGCTGCTGATTGGTTATCTTCATCACCTTCGTCTTCTTTCTGTTCACCTGCAGTCCTGTTTTCGCTACCTCTTTAGCCAGTTTATTGGTTTTCGCTTGCAAGTCTTCGAGTTGGTGTGACATTAGACATACAGCATCTGTGAAATCCAGATCTTCTAGAGTCGTGAGTGGCAGTTTATCCCAATACATGAGATAACTGTTCCTGAATTATGTGCTTGGTTCTCAGAATGTACTCCTGAGCTTTTGACCAAATCTCATGCATTCCTCAGAGGCAAAAAAGAGATATCATAATTGGTTTGTTTGCGCTTCAGGCCACAAAGCTTTGTGTCACGTGATGTTACTACCAATTAATATTTTATTTGAAGATCTTGAACGAAGGGAAGCTATCATGCAATAAACTACGCTGAAAATTCTGTAAATTATATAAGCAGTGTCCAGGATAAAGCTATTACTATTATTATTAATATGTCGCGATCTCGACCTACTGATATTCATCTGCATAGGGGAAAATATACAAAACTGTTTACATGAATACTACGATATTTTTATGTGTTACATTTTTATTTAATTGAATATAAACTGTACCCCAACTAACCTTTGAATGTACTCTCAAGTACAATGGATTGTCTATAGAAGCATTCAATAGATTCTGATCTAAGAGAACCGGTATATGTTTATTATCAATTTCTGATGGTGAACCATTATCTTTTGTTGAAGAAGCAAGTCCAGAAGAAGAAATCCCAGAATTTGATACAGTTTCATCCATTTCTTGAGCTGGATCTGTATTACAAGTAGCTGTGTTTGTACTAAGTGTAATATTATTTGATGATTCATCTGCTAATCGTTTACGAAGAGAACCTTTTAAGTCGTAGATGTATGCTAAATGCGTACGACCATGAAATAGATTTTCCATCACAAGAACATCAAATCGATGTGCTTCACCTGAAGCGGAATTTTTGAATCCAACATGAAATATTCCCAGTATTCGTGACAATACGCATAGACGCTGTAAAATAAGGCAAAATCAAGCTTAAACAGCAGTTTCTAAGAAAAGTACGTCACAATTATCGCTTCAGGTAATTACAATAATGACAAAGTAATCGTAAACTTATTGGGGTACAGTTACTTTACTTATCTAAACACAAACATGGTATAATATGTGCCCCAACAGATGCACCACACAAAAATAAAACAATATAAGGAAAATAGAATAAATGAGTGACAGCACCAGAAAGCAAGTAAGCATCATGATCAAGAGTACGCAAAGGATAGTTCATTACTTCATGTAACCTTCCGAAGGAGAAGAAAGGAGGATACTGCAGTACCACTGATTACGATTCTCGCCTATATCTACTAACACATCTCAAAGGGACACTAATAAACGTGAAAAGTTGTAGGAACTAAATTTATTCTTGACAATGACCGTTAATCATTGATTGTTACTCTTTAAAGGGAGTTCATACATTTAACCAACAACAAACACGTATGATAATAGAGAAGATTTGTAGCTCAGGTGGATGATTTGCAATTAGTAGTGTTCACTGAGCTGGTTGGTTTAGTTGCAGAGCTTTCGTCGTCCTTCTGGACAACATCTTCAGTGCAATTTTTAGCATAAAGTGAACTGATTTAAACTTTCCATGAGTGAAGATAAAATTAATACCATTTACAAAATAAATTGTATGAACTGTAACATCAACCAAAGTGGGCGTCCCCTTCGAATCAGAATCCAGGAACACAAATCAGCCGTGAAAAGACACGATATATATTCTTTCATATCAATGCATGTAGATAATTATGGACATCAATTTGGTGATTGGGATAATGTCGAAATTTTAAACAGAGGAAACACCAAAAGTGGAGTCAGAGAATTCCTAGAAGCCTGGTACTCAAACGAATATGCGATTAACAAACATATTAATATAGACCAAATCTACCAACTAATAAAAAATTAATCATGTGACGAGAAAGTTTAAAATCCGAGTCAATAAAAAATGATCAATACATATGTAAAGATGGTTACCGGGAGACACAATTCTATCACTCATGGAAAAAATTTAAATCAGTTCACTTTATGCTAAAAATTGTGCTGAAGATGTTGTCCAGATGGACGACAAAAGCTCGGCAACTAAACCAACCAGCTCAGAGAACACTACTAATTGCAAACACGCATGATTCCACATGTATAGAAATCAGTATGTACTCAGTAACAGATAAGACGAGAAATATCAAAAACAAAGAAAGCAGGATATATAATTTCAACTATAGATTATCTGGGTTTCTTTCATAAACTCTGTGGTAAGAAAACAAACAACTGAATTCAGATTATCATCATGGTCTTTATACAATCCAGGCTAACTGACTGAGTCCCATCATAGAACTTTGTACAGAATTGTAGCAGTTCAAGTTGCTACACTCCATGTAGCACACAAAAGTGGAGAGAAAAAAGAGACAGTAGTTAGCAGAAATGCGAGGTTTTAGCGGATATAGGAGATCACGAAGAATGAATGCATCTGTCTGCCCTATTGACAACGAAGACCATAACCAAGTAGTCTGTATCTCTCTATGTGACTCAAACCGACTGTCAAAAGCTTCATGGACTGATGACAAGTTTTGCTTTGACCACTCCTAGCTAGAGATACAGAGCAGTAAGTTGCCAATTAGTCCAATTACAATCACATAGCAACATGAGTAAACATTTTCCATTCAAAAAAATACTTTTAGACAATTTGATTTTACCCGATATTCACTGATTTAAATAAGAGGATGAAATAATCAACACATACCACATGGTAATCGAAAATGTATTCAGCAAAATATAAACAATGCAAAGGATTTCTTACCTGATCAAGTGCTGCCGTGATTAGATAATCAAAATATTCTTGAGAAATCTCATGAAATGTCTTCATCTCAATTGATGAAAGTTCTTTGATTACAAATCGTTCATCTATCAATACACCAACATTTATAAAGAATAATTATTAATATCATTCCTAATTAGATACTACAACTGCTATTCACCTCAAAAAAAGTTTATTTCACTATGATCAAATGAACTTTGTTAATTGTATGCGGATGATCTAACTGTTTCAATGCCTGTTAACTCCAAGATGGATTGTACTAAGATTAACAGCTTTCTATTGGGAGTCAGCAAATGGTCTTACACTAAATCCCTTCAAATGTTAATTTCAAATTCTGATGTAAAACAAAGTTAAATGAAGTTGTTAATTCCTATGACCGTAGCGAAATTGATGGTAGTGATATAGGAATCAAGTCTAACGTTGAGTATCTTGGACTAATTCTTTCTTCTGACCTAACCTGGTCTTCCCATTTCTTAGCGATTGCTAAGGAAGTATTCCATCTGACTTTTTACATTAAAAAGTTAAGCCACTCAGGCATAACTCAACCCCTCCTCTTACAGTTTGTCAACTATTGCATCTTACCTATTCTTCTTTACTGTTTACCGTTATTCTTTCCTAGATTGCTTAAAAAAGACTATGCCATACATCGTAGGATTCTGGAGACTGTCAGTAGGGCGAGTGCTGCTATCCCATTAGGCCATAACATTGACAACATCATTGACAGACACTTGATTTCATCCAACAAATATGCTAAAGGGATTTTGTCAGACTGTGAGCATCCACTTTACCCGCAGCTTACACCCTGTGTCTCCTCAGTTAAGACAAGAAGTCATTGCAAAAGACTTTATGCACACACGTCTAGGTATAAAAATTCTACGATACCATATTTGGCACGTATTTTATGTGATGAAAATATTGTTAGGGATGAACTAACTAACCTTCTTTGCACTAGTAAAATAAACAATTTTCTCCACCCTTATAACATCACGCTTTACTGTTAATATGCTTCTTATATTTATAATCCTCTCATTTTTTTGTTTATTTTCCCATAAGTGTAAACATCATTTAAGTTCTGTAATAATTGTTATTTATTGTTTTTCACCCCTACTATGCCATATCAAGAGAACATTAGATTCAATACTCCGTAACATGCTAAAATTCTCAGACTGTATCGACAATATTGTTTGAAACAAACCCACTGTTGTTATTATCACACTTATTATTCTCATTTTGTACTTAGCACATTTTTGAATTTACTCCTTCCGTAAATGTGAACAAATTCCTGAGGTTACTTTTGTTTATATTTTCAGTAAATTATAGGCAACATTGTGACAAATGCTGAGAATTCCATGCCCTATTATAAGTACTGTTTTTGGAATAAAGCAGATCACTATTATTATTATTATTACTAAAAATACAGATAAGAAGTCATTCATGAGTCAAACTATATGAATAACATTTGACTCAAAAAATGTGCATCTTTTTGCGCTGGATTATCGGCCTTAGTTAATACGTGAAAAGCAGTGATCCTACACTGCTCACCAGATGTTGGTAGAAACAACGGGACTCGAACCCATAACCAACTAAAGGAAGTTGAATGGTCTAAACCAGTGATTTACAACTCTACATGATATACTCTAGGCAGCTATTTTGTTCCACTATGAGACAAGTCTACAGTGACCCCCCCCCTTACGATCATATGCCGCATTGAACTCAGGGACATGAGATCTTGGGGTGGTCGGATTCCCATACAGTCACTAGGTCAAATCAGAATATGCATCTTATTCAGGGGAATTCAGGGTTCTAGAAACATTAAAGCAATGCAAGACAGTAAGATACAAATCAGTTAACCACATGAAATACTTAACATACCCCGAGTTTTCATAAACAAAGAGCCGGATTTACCACCACGTGCATCCCAATGATAGCATCTTGATAAGGATTGTATGAAACTTTAAATAAAGTAATAAAAAAAGTCATGTCAACTATATAGACCGATAAGGAAGGGCTGATATTTTTTTAGAATATAAGTAAGTGTTGATATATGGATAAATACTTGGATAATTTCGAATTAACTTGTCAGCAGACTGTAAAATCTCTACCGGCCTTCTTCATGCCTGTATGCTTTTTTGTAAGTCAGACTTCTTGAAGTCATTTACTTTTGTAGAGCAATATGACGGAATAGAGTGATGACTGAAATTAGGACGAAATTGTTAGTTATGTCTGGAGTCAAAACAGAAACTTTTATGTTACTGATCTGCTGATACCTCCCTTACTTGACTTAGATACGGATCATTTCTTAATGATATTTCTATCAACTGTCATATGAATAAGACAGATATATAACTGTTTACTCACTACCAAACACACTTCACGCAATACTGTGTAAATAGGTTCATCTAAATCGTTAAAACACTATTCTCATAATCTCTTTATTGGCTTCTACTCTTGATATGCTCATATAACTTTTGGCGAGATGACGCAAAATGAAACAGTATTTGACCGACTATTTTATCTATCTGTCCAGCTCTCGGAATATATAACTGATGAATCATTCCAGAGTGCGTAATACACAGAAAATATGTAGCTCATCTATGTGGATAGTATCTACATACGAATGTTGTTCAAGCACATACTTCCCTAAAACTCTTTAACTGGAAGCAGATAAATAAAAGACCACCACCAGACAGGATGTTTAGTAATCCAATGCACAAATTTAATAAGTAGATAATTTCCAAGTGTTGACTTGAGGGGTTCGATTAATTTCAGGTTTGATCACGAGCTGACGTCAACTAGAGAGCCACTCAAAACCAGAGAGTACTGGACAGCTACTTCGTCTTAGTCTGGGGACTCTTCGGCAGCACACACCCATGACCCTACCAGGGGTCGAACCCAGGACCTTTGGGTGACCAGTTAGCCACCAACAGTCACCTAGTAAGCTGAAGGTTTTGGGTTCGGTTCCCGGTTAGGGGCATGGGTGCAAACTGATGAAGAGTCCCAGATAAGGACGAAACAGCTGTCCAGTACCCCCTGCCTTCCAATGGTTCTCTAGTTGAAGTCAGTCTGTGATCAAACTTGAAGTAGGTAATTTGAAATAAATATTCCAATGTAAACATTCATGAATGAATAATTAAAACTTAAAATAATCAACGAAACAGCAAATTTAATCTCGTCAATTTAACACTAAGGCAGATCAACTGAATTGTGATAATCATTTTTCATTTAAAATAATCAACCTACTATCAAGATAAAAATGATTTATTAATTCGCATAGATGGTCTTTTTAAAACCATAAAATATTACTTTGACGCAACCAGAATGATACATAAACTCGAAGAGGTAAGCGAATTAGCCTACGGTAATTTAATTTAATCAAGCTGTTAAAGAAGGGCGACTTAGGCCTCTGCAAGAACTGGCGTGGGATAATGCATTTTCAACACCAATGTCAAGTCGGTCAGTGCTTCTATACGGGTCAGAAACTTGCACTGCGTGTCACGAAAGATTTCCAACAGGCCAGTGCAAACTTTCATCAACAACTGCCTTCTCTGGATCCATACTGAAGATCAAATGGCCAGAAAGAATAAGTAACAAGAAACTCTGACTGGCTACAAACCAACCAAACCAACCGATCGCTCAACAAATATGTAGGATAAAATGGAGATGGATCGGGAATACATTGAGGAAACCATCGAATGACATGCCCACCAGGCCATCGCTCGAGTGGAATCCCAATGGGAAGCGACGAGTGGGTTGTCGGTGCGAGAGTGACATGGAGGAGATCGTGTGAGGAAGAGATGAGAGATTATGGGCAATTGTGGACCCGGCTGAAGAGGACAACAGAAAACAGAACAAAGTGGAGATGTGTTGTTGAAGCCCTATATATTCCACTCGGAACCTAAGGAAATAATAATAATATAATAATTTAATCTATACGCTTATGTTATATTCTCAACCTTTAAGCCATCAAATGTATATACATTCCGTATATTTTGGGCAACATTATTCTACAGAAGTGGGTTTGCTTTACGACTGCTTTTTTTACACATTGTTAAAATATGATGTTAATAATAATGATAATAACACAATGAGTAAAGTGAATCTTACGACATATCTCCATTGGGCATTACAAGTTGGCGTAAACGGAAAAATTCGGAGGCATAATAAATACAGCAAAAGAAATTAGTCGAGCTATCAGAAAACTCTGGAAAATAAATTGAATAACAAAATAGAAATAAGTATAAAATAATATCTTAGTTATAAATTCAAAAAAAAATATATAAATAGTTCCCATAAGGGGAAATCAACTATCTAACGTCTTATACATTTATGCCTTGCATTTAATAATCGTGATAGATAGTTTTTTCCTTTAAGTTCCCGGTGGAACATAGGGTTTCAAGCTAGAGGCTTGAAGTTTCGGTAGCAGTGGTGTTTACTTTTACGGGATGGGGTTGCTAGTCTCATGCCCAAACTTTCCTCTTTACCAGCTTTTTATTTCTGGCTTAACGAGATAAAGGAGTGTGTCGGTCGGGGATTGAACCCCTGCGAAGTCGGCGAGCATTCTACTACTGTGCCACCGACGCAGTGTGAAAGATAGTATTATTCAGTTATTTAGGAAAGAACTTGGATGGAATAACTGGCATATGATTCTACAAGAGAAAATACAATAAACATATACCCTTAATATGCAATTTACATCTTACGATGTAACTTCCAGATAGAAATAGAGAATTTCTATACGACCTCCTCTTCAATCTACCACTGGTTGATTGTATCGCACACAGTTTGAAAAATGGTAGGTTGAAATCAACAATCGAAGATTTCCTATTGTATAAGGTCCCCGCGAAGGACACACAATTATGATGGCAAATGTAACGCAGGTCATGTATTACACAAGCATTTAACAGCTACCACAAAGTTCCTAAATTCATTCTCATGTAATTCTTCTTAACAAGAATAACTTATGAGATCTTAAGGATTTCAATTTGTATTAAATTTACAGTGGACAGTAGACGGAAAAACGCCTACAACTGCGTGGAAGAATAAAAATTTAGTCATATTCTTGGTTACCCTTATCTGACTTATTCGCAGTCCTGATGATTGAAGGGATAAAACTTCTTAGAAGAATTTTAGTTATAACTGGATATTCATTGACTCAGGGATGAATTAAAATAAAATTTTGCAGACTGAGATTGAATACATTTGAGACATTGCGAACAAATTTGAGCCATTTAGTTCACGGGAAAAAAACCAAACTCAAACCATTTAGACATAGCCCGATTTATTGAGTAACACCTTTGAATTGAAAAATGATCTAACTCTACTTGTATCTCCCAAAAGAGTTTCAAAATTTCTTGAAACGTTGAAAGTAGAGTTTTTTTAGTTATTCAGATGTTTTTCGTGGCAAGCTGAAAAACACGGTCTGAATACTTCTGTGTGCGCAAATAAAATTCAGAATGCTTAATAATGATACTTTATTCTCGTGACAGATTCGTTTGTCTAATTAGGTTCTATAACAGATCAGAAGTAACATGTATAGCAAAAGAGTTGGAAAATGTCAGCATTATTCTTTGAGGAACCAAACCATAAGAGGAATTATTTCCTTCGAAAATTTAATATAAGCAATCAGTATTTAGAAAATATTTTGTAGATGCTGAAATCAATCAACGAATCAACAACTTGTATAGTCTTAATAACAAAACAATATAATGGAATGTCCGGAATGCACATCGTAGTCGACTCCTATTACTCCAAAACTACCGAAATATAGAAAAGTGGAGTAGTTTTGGTAGTTATACATAGGTTTGATGCACTAAATTAGATAAAAAAGGTTGAGTGTCAACGTCTACTCTTCAAACAGCTTAAAAATCCGTATTAAGCCAATATAAAAGAAAAGACGTTCAGCTTGACAATGACATCGATGAACGCCTCTTCATTTTACATGACTCTGAAAATACTCACAGTAGGTAAAGTTTGAACAAAATGCTTACGGATTTTAATATGACGACTTCGAGATACATTTGATTTATCATTTCCCAAGGATGTGGATGATGCAGGATGATGAGCAGCAGTTGGTAAGTTAGGCGAATGTGATGATGTCAGTCCTGACAACTTTTGATCTCGAGGTGTACTTAAGTGTGATGACGTTGGCGCTTTACTGTTGTTAACCTCTAACATATGAAATCAAAACATGAAACATCAGTATTTTTACAAACTAAAATGATATAATACAAATATATAAAATTCGATATCAATAATCCCACTATGACAAGTAAACAATACCTTGAATTAGGAACTCACAAACATCAAAGCAATATAAACTAACAGGGAAATAAAGTAAATAAAAGATAACAGTATATAAAGACAATTCGGGAAGTCAAGCAGACGTCAGTCCCGAAAGATGTGCCTACGCTTCGCTCTTTCATAGGAATGATTAGCTACTACTCAGCTTTCCTGTCAGCACCACACAACATCCGTGGACCACTCAATTGCCTGTTACAAAAAGAACATCCGTGGGTTTAGTCCAAGAAGTGTGATGAAGCCGTCGAAAAAGTGAAGAGTCTCCTCGCTTCGGAATTGTTACTAACACACTACAATCCGAAACTACTCATCTTAGAGTCGCAGCTAGCCTCATGCCCAACTTCCCCTCTTTGCCAGTCTTATTACTGGCTTGTAGGGGTAAAGGAGTGCGCCGACCGGGAATCGAACCCCATGTGCATGGTCGGCGAGCGTCCTAACCGCTGTGCCACTGACGCACTTAAAATTCATTATTTTGTTATTATAGCAAATCTATTTTCAAAAACCTGTACAGCTTGGTTATCATGTGCCTTACAAGGAACTCCGTTTCATCTGCCTTCAAAATGATCACATTAATCAATAGTGCTTTAAATCTCCTTCATGGCAAAGAATTACATAACTGTTTACCTATTCATTGTCTAAATACTAATGACCAAGTAATCATTGTAATGTAGAACCAATAATTTGATAACAGAGTCCAGTGTATTTCCCTCTTAAAAACCGAAATGTTTAGACTACACAAACTGCGTGATCTGTGTTAAGAGTACAGCAAACCTTGAAACGCTGTCAATATAGTTAGCAATGACACAGTCTCACAACTAAATTCAAAATCAATTGTTTTACCTTGATGAATATCTGATTTCACAGAAGATTCATAGTCACCTGGATTAACTATAGGCACTTCATTGTCCAGAATAACATTAGCTTTTTCCTGTTCATCAACATTCCCCAAATCTGATATATCTGTACGAATAGTAGTTGACTCATCCTCAATCTCTTTAAAACTAAAACAACAGAAATATGATAGGATAACTGCTCAAATAAACACTAGTATAAAAAACAAAAAATGAGCGAAGAATAGCCTTTTCGATAATTTCCTCTTCTGGCTCTACAATTAACAATACTGACGTTTTTTAAATACTGTCAATTTGTTAAGTAAGATCAATGGAATTAAGTTCACAATAGATGCATAAATTGTCATAAACATAAAAATGTAATAGCAAATAGAACATCAAATAAAATTAGGGAAATTTCCACAACAAATTGAGGATCATTAGAGCCTTGATGGCCAAGGTGAGGACAGTGTCTGAACCAGCTTCTTTTGGATACATAAGTTAGGCTTCTTAATGTGGATCCCAACGGCTTCATCAATATGTAGTAGACGAGCTCTTAAGGTGAATTTAAGATTGGTGGTATGCGGTAGATGACTGTGAAAGCCTCGTTAACACCAACTTTGTGTTTTGTATCCACAAAATGAGATAGAATAGCGCTATGAATAGATTTTGTTGGCCTTTTACTTAGCCGCGCAGGGTGATGTCCGGAAATCCGATGAGAAACACGTCTAATTGTACAGCCTATGTAACTGGCTACACAGGAGCAGTCAAATTGGTAGATACACATAGAAGAGGTGCAATTAAGCAGTTTATCTTTTACTCCTGAAAGCGAATAGCTGTGGTTTTGAAGACACAGCATAATTCAGCAGCATGAAATGATCTTTTTACCGCATTCCTAAGGCACTGTGTTAATATCTCGCTGATGTTATCCCCAAGGAACTGAATTTGTAAGAATAAGGCCTTTTTAGGAACTGTTGGTCCCTTGGGCTGCTTTGATTTTGGATTCATATTCTTATCAATGAATTTTTCTGGATAACCGTTTTCACTCAGCAAATAACTAACATAAAAGATTCAGGTTAACATTCTCAATAGTTGTATATCAAAAACTATATAACAGTAAGAAGATAAATATGTTGTTATAGACGCTTCATTTGGATTTCAATTAGTTTATTGTTATCCAATAGGATGTATGAATCAGTAAGACAGTATAATAGCGAAAGAGCAGTACTCAGTGTAACTATATAGTAAACAGAGACTTTCGATGAGAAAAAACTGTTATCTTCACAGTGTATAAGTAAAGCTTTTCAACGGATACATTACGTATGCTTGCTTACTGTTAGACATTATATATACACAATATATATATATATATATGTAACAAAAATACTCTCCATTTAGGTGTGAGAATACAGCTTCAAAGAATTAGCCTACAAACTGAACTGAAATCTTTAGAGCACAAAGTGAACTTTAAACAGCTCACAATCAAAGCCAGCACAGATGTCAGTTAATGATAAGCAATCAGGGTATAACTAAAATAAAATTATTTAATATCTTCACAAAGAAGACGTTTCTTACGGTTTCATGCTGGAAATAACAATCACAGACTTAATAGGTAAACCAAAATTTAAATTGAATACAAAATTGTTTATATGAAAAGAAATACATATTTAGCAAACATGAACAATATATTGGGGGGAACATGTACAAATAAATCCCCAATGAATATAATACCCATAGCATAACTAAAAGCTGTAACTAAGATCCTACATACAGGTTAGCATATTAAATCATTAATTCACCTTGTGTTTAGATCAATGGCATTACCCAACTCTCCCTGAAAACTTCAATGTGAACAGCAGTAAACAAAAGATCGCTTGCTAGAAGAGACCAATCGATGCAAAGGATGAAATCAATAAGGGAAGTGGAAACACAACTGCATTTTTCACTAATAGCCCCGTCCCAATGACCGAATGGTATACGAGTTTGCCTTGCAAACTGAAGGTTTCAGATGCGATCCCTTGTGGGGGGCCATGGATGCGTACAGAAGAGTCCCAGCAAAGGACGAAACAGCTATCTAATGCTCCCTAGTTTCCAGTGGTTTTCTAAGGGAAGTTAATTAAATCAGTGACAAATAAATAGAAGACATTTCCATTGTGATGAAGACACCTACATATACTGACATTTGTTTATTATTGACTAATGGTGGAACCTAAAAGACATGATCTTCTTACTTAAGATTGATAAATTTAGTGTGATAAAACAAATTTCAGCCAAGACTCAAACTCAGACCGAATTGTTGTAAGCACCCAAAGATTATTCCCTAGGATAACTATATCTAACAGCAACCTCCCCTGCTGTCATTGCCAGCAATTATTTAAATTCCACAGTTTATTGATAGGCACTTTATCAAAAAAAAAGAGTAGATTGTTTCTGTTGACACACGTGTTTATGCTTAGACGCTTATTTTGATAGGGATTAAAATGTTTAATTGATCTAATTTAACTTTGTTTTGCTGAATGTAAATGGTAATATAAACTGTATTACATGAAAATACCTATACAAATAAATAAATAAATAAATAAATCCAAAGTAAACGCACTTAGCGAGTGCTGACTGACCAAGTTGAACATCTGAAGTAAGCTGTGTCGACACTTGAAGGGTGGAGTGCAAGTCAACCAATTTCCGTTCATATTCTGACGTGCTAGTGTAAAAAAATATATGGGATTACAAAAGAGGAAATTTTATGGTTATTGCAAAGAAAGGTAAAGTGAGAATATATACATTAATATATATACGTAAAATACAGATTTCAAAACTACTGCAGGGAACGATGGTCCACACGTACTCGAAACGGACACCCTAGCAGGTAATATCAAAATCAGCGTAGGTATCTCATCAAAGCAAACATTTCGCTACTGGTAGTGGAATAAAGCGTTGGAGATTCGCCTGTTTTCTTACTGGGGTAAGTAATGATGCTGTCTTGGCTATCACAGGTTACCTAGTTCCTATAGTAAAAATTTGTAATGTAATCACCACTCATAGAAAACTTGAGCACCTTGAACAAAAGCTTTCCGTCCGGGAAAGTAATCAGATTGCATTAGCCATGAAAGGTGATGTTTACCGTACATTAAGGTCATCGTTGATCAAATGAAAAACTGCAAGAGTGAACATGAAACAACTCTAAAAGCGTCTGCTGAAAATTGTATGTAAAATGGTATAAAATGTCGAGGAATTAAGAACTTCATGGCTGAGAAGTTTATATGCAATAGTTTCAGCTGTCAAGTAATTCCGCAGATAGTTTACAAAATAATTCCATATTAGTTTGTTTAATAGATGTATCACACAGTGAAACAGTATTATTTACTGGATGACAAGGTTTCGAACGCAATTTATTGTTCATAATCATGCCATCAATTGTAATCACACGACTTCGAAACTTGCGTTTCATAGTCTTCTTTGTCCTCTCCTATTTACCGTAGGCGTAGTAGAATTTTCCAGATATCAAGCTGGGCAGGTGTTGAATCATTCCTATTACACGTATTTGCAGTTGATTAGATAAATAAAGCTTCCGTTACCAATCTCTCCCTCCGCCCTGTGACATTAGAGTTTAAAACTATCATTCTATCCCATCCCATAGTGTGGTTGTGTGTAACGGCATGTAGTGCTATAGCTGAACCATTCTCTAAATTTCTTATCTTATTTGGATCAACCAATCTAGATTTTGCTTAGTTTTTATGTTCAGCTTAGTCTGACTGCCCCTGTTCTACCAGTTTGACCTATGTATTTGACCTAACAATCATTGCAGGTAGGGTATTAGATAAACTAAATTGTTTTGTTTTAAAGGCTCTACAGGATCCTTTAACCAACAAAGCTTGTTTCTAATTGAGTTTGTGGATTTGAATGCCATGTTTATTCCTGCCTTGTTAAGAATTCTGCGTAAGGCTTCCGAGGTTCCTTCCTTGTACGGAATACTTGTATGGAATCTAATGTCACAGGGTGGAGGGATAGACTGATAACGGAAGCTTTGTTTATCTAATCAGCTGCAAATACGTGTAATAGGAATGATTCAACACCTGCCCAGCTTGATATCTGGAAAATTCTACTACGCCTACGGTAAATAGGAGAGGACAAAGAAGACTATGAAACGCAAGTTTCGAAGTCGTGTGATTACAATTGATGGCATGATTATGAACAATAAATTGCGTTCGAAACCTTGTCATCCAGTAAATAATACTGTTTCACTGTGTGATACATCTATTAAACAAACTAATATGGAATTATTTTGTAAACTACCTACTACAGTGCCCAAGTTTTACACATATATTAATAGTTTACAAGATAACAAACCGAAGATATTATTACATTGATGTGTTACCATACAAAGTCCTAAAGTGGTGTCATTAATTTACCATATCTTACTCACTTATGAAACAGGGGGTATAAAACAAGAATTGGGGTGGATTTACACTGGTAATTGTGCCTCCAACACATTTTTTTTATTCTTTTGCATTCCTAGTGGCATACAGGGCTTCAAGCTTCGGCTTTGAAGTTTCATTAGCGATTAGTGACGTTGAGGAGTATATCGACCGGGTGATCGAAGCCGGACCATTTGTGTGGGTGGTGAGCATTCTATCGGTGAACCACCGACGTTGCTAACACAAATAACACAGAACTACTTTTAAAATTCGGAAAATAGACAATCATTATCATCGAATTTAATCAAAATTCTTACGTTAAGGCATAAGCAATGATTGAAGTGAACTCTCGATCATTAACATATACATCAGGATTAGCTAGTAATAATTGACAAACAGATGCAGGTGGCCGACTGCAATCACTACCTTTAGATGTTGATTCGCTTGAAAGACTCTGTGATATATAGAATTGCTTTAAAATTGTTATACAACTTTCATCACAAACAATTAATTGAGGATGTTCATTTGCTGGAACTGGTTCACCGAACACTTTTAAATCCATAGCTGAAGAGAGAAACGTATGAATGAAACGACGTACACCAGATGTGGAAGGATTAGTTTGACTTGAAATTGCAGGTCGGATATGGTGATCAGTAGATTCCGCCTTGTTTGATTGATGATGATTCTGATAGGTTAATGTGGAACCAGGAATTTCTGGATCATTTCGTTGATACACAGCTTGAATGAGAATCAAAATTAATGAAAAAGGAAAAATACATGTTTAAGAATCGATCTCTATTTACTTATTAAATAATACAAAATTACATACCACGGATTAAGTAAGGAAATATAAGTTTCTTTTCTATAGTTGATTTGTAAGGATTAGTTTTGTTTTTACGAGTTGATCACGGATTGATATCAGTTAGAGAAGCATTGAAAACCAAGGAGTACTGGATAGCTGTTTCATCCCAGTTTTGGAATCATCGGCAGTATGCACCCACTGGGGTTCGAAGTTAGAAATCATGGGCCACTGAATCGGGTCCCAGTGGCTGAATGGCATACGAGCTTGCCTTGTAACTGGAAGGTCCTGAGTTCGAACCCCATGTGGTGGGTGCGTACTGCCAATGATTCCCAAACTGGCATAAAACAGCTGTCCAGTACTCCCTGCTGGTTTTCAATGGTTCTCTAACTGATATCAATCCGTGATCAACTCGTAAATATAAGTTTCTTTATTTAATTCAAGGAAAGTCAAAATCGGCAGTTGAAAACTAGAGGGGATATGCCTCAACATTATTCTCAGCAACCTGGACAGATATGACATTTCTTTCCCTATTCGAATTCTTAATACTGTTGATCCCAACACTCCATATCTATCCTTATTATCTCAAAGTTACATGTGGTGGCTTAAATAAGCACACAACCATTCCCGGTAATACACTGACAATATCAGGTCAAGTGGCATGAGAACCTCAGTTAAACAATCACAATTTTCCCTCCTGGACAGCCGCTTCTTCCTAGCTTGGGACTCTTCATCAGCGCGCACCCAACGGGGTTAGAACCCAGGATTCTCCGGTTACAAGGTAAGCTCGTATACAATTCAGCCACCGGGACCCGACACAATGGTCCATGAATTCCCACTTCTACCGATTTGTGATAACACTGACTGATGACCTCACTAAAACAACTAATTAGTGGAAGTCGAAATTCATGGGCCGTTAGATTCCGTCCGAGTGGCTGAATGATCTAAGAGTCTATCTTGTAACTGGAAGGTTCTGAGCCCGAAAACCGAAGGGTGCATACGGATGAAGAGTCCCAAGCTAGGACGAAACAACTGTCCAGTACTCTCTGGTTTTCTAATAGTTCTCTAACTGATATCAATCCGTGGTCAAACTTGAAACAAATCATATCCCTACAAACTAGCTCTCTACTGGCTTTAAGGCGTCGACAGTGTTTGTAATACATATGTAGGAAATGAGATCCCGTTATAATGAAAAGTCTGACGATTATAATTCAGTAACTGAAAAAAATTACCCACACAATGTTGGAATGTGTTGAGAGAATTACCTTTCATATTTATAGTATCCAAAATCGACAGGTGTTTAGAAGAATCAACTGCTACATTGTCATCCGTTGTATTGCTTTTACTCTCATTATGCAGAGTTACATGCTGACTATTGTCCCCGAAGGTATAAAGACCTGCCTTGAAGGAATTCAGTTTTGAAGTGCTTTTAATATATTTATACGTTTTATTGTCATTTTTCGTGGTCTGATTCACTTCAAGTAAACTAGTCGTCGTTAGTGGGTGGTCATCTGAAGGCGTTTGTGTAACAGTTGGAATGTTATTACTTGAATTAGCTGATGTTATAGTCTCACTTTGATCGAATGCAGGGGAATGAACCGGTTTTTGGAATGGGACTCCACTCGTCATACTGGACGAAGAAAGATGTTCTTCTAATTTATCATGGCATTGAGATGAGCCTTCTTGAAGTGATACACTGAACTTTGCAGTATCTGACAGACTATTCATACTATTCGCATTACTCAAGGTTTTCGCAGATGTTGTTTGTAATGCTGTTGCCATTGCCTCTTTTGCTGGTGTGGTTGTTGTTGTAACTGCTATTTGAATAGGAGTTGAATGAGGGATTATTGACAGCTGGTTGGCAGAAGTTGTATGTGTTGCAGAAGCATTGGATGATGTGCCTTTTTTGCGTGTATCACGAATATTCTTCTCAATCCGCTTCATTAGTAATTCGTATTCATTAAATCTAAACATAATTATTGGTATAAAATATATATGGATGTAAAATAAGTTTCTTTTCTAAAAAAGTCTAGTGAAATGACATATTATAAATATTATTTGTCAGGCTCACACTCACATAGGCAAACAATCATTAAAACAAATATGAGAAACCGCTTACAAATTAACATATATCCAGATCGTGGAGAACACCCATTAGGACATTAGAAAGAAGAGAACACGAAGTTCAGCAAAGATATCTTTTCGGCGATTTCCCTAAGCCTCCGTTTGCCTTTTTTTCGTTCGCTGTGTGTGTAATTCTTACTCTCTTTGTCTTCATTCAATTCATCCCATTTTTTTCAGTTATAAGAACAGTTATTTTAAGTTTGTTTCCATGCTTTTCCTGCTTACATTTATAATTCGTTTAAAATAACTATTTTACAATTATATCCTAATCCTGTGTAATTTTTGTTTCTAAGGCTCTTGTAATCTATATTCACACCTCCTAACTTCCATTTCAAGTTGAAAATTATGATTTCAATTTGTTTCCATGCTCATTTTCTATACACCTGTAATTCGTTATAATCCTGTGTAATTTTGTTTCTAAGCCTCTCGTAAACCATAACTAGTTGAAAATAATTGTCACCTTTTATTTTCCTTCGTAATTATGTGGAATCAAGTAAAAAGAAATTGTATCTATGTAAAATTATGTATTTAAATGCGATTGTACACCTTTTGAAAATGAAATCGCCGAAAAGATATCTTTGCTGAACTTCATGTTCTCTTCTTTCTAACATATATTCATCTGTCTGCCAATAACATTCTTATTTCACTTATTGAAATATTCGATTACCAGTATAATCCTGTCTGGAAAAAGGGGATCTTTCTTCTTCAGTTAACAAATCTATGATTATTATACCAATTATTGTATCATTCCATCAGATTCTAGATGGAACTGACTGACTAATTCGCTTCAACATGGAACTTCGCAAAGAAGTGAAGCTTCAATAGGACATCTCCATTTGATTCTTTTCCCAATTATCGTCTTCATCTGGCTCCACGACTACCAATAGGCTTTCGTCTCCTCCTCCTCCTCCTCTCTTCACACGACCTCCATTTCATCCTCCGACGCCTAACTCGTCGTTTTCCATTCAGGTTCCACTCGACAGCATGGTGCTACTAAACGGTCTCCACAGCGTTTGTCCGATCTATCTCCACTTCTTGAGCATATCAGTTGGATAGCGCGGTCTTGATTGGTTTGTTGCCAGAGTTCCTTGTAGCTAATCCTAATCTAGCCATCTGGTCTTCAATGTAGAGCGAAGACGGCTGTTGACAAATGTCTGAAGCCCATTGGAAATGCTTTTCGTGATGTGGCGATTTTCTTATACAAGGGGAATATGATGTTTGTTTGAACTCAGTCGCCCGACACAAATTTTCAATGTATCAGGATATGAATCACACATATGGTATGGTGGCTGATGATACTACCCGGTTGTCCAGGCTGAAGAAGATGGAGCAGGACCCAATCTTCGGACTCGTCAGCTGCAATTCGAGTGCTTAAGCCAATGAGTATGACACTAACTAATGTAAGCTTCAATGAAAAAGTATTTCACAGGATGAGCAATGAACTATACATTTTAGTTACAAAACTATAATTAGCCTAATAAGGTGTGCTGCAACCTAAACTGGGCGATTCACCGCCTAGTGGGACTATGATTTGTTCATTTCAATTAATGAGGTATCAGGTTTAACTCCTTGCCAAACGCTTATGTTCAGAGAGGGTAATTACAGACACTAACCACATACCCAGTATATCAGTTGTGCACTATGTAATGGAATGGTAAGTGAACTCCAATAATTATTCTAAGCAAGACTGAATACAAGTAACAGTTGCAAAGAAATGATATTAACAGATATTAGTTAATGAAGTATAACAGGAAGTGTTAACCATTCAAAAAGTAAAGTTAGAAGCCAAAACTGTAAATCTCATAAACTGGCAGAAAACAGTTTACATGTTAAAGTTGGATGATAATTAACACCTGAAACACCATCCGATAGATGGTTAAAGTTTTCCTGCGCAAAAATGAAACTATAAAGCAGCGTAGAAATACTCTTTAATGTTGTGATAAGAAATACGCGGATTGTTCGATAAAACCCTCCTATTCTTATATGGGTTACTCTAAACTATAGCAGCCCAAACGAAACTATCTAATGAAGACCTTGACATATCTCTATCGACCAGTCAGATGCGTCCGAAGGAAAAGTGCATAATAGGCTAACGTTCTTGTATATGTTCCAAGAAAACCTCCCAATTTCTCATGGTTAGGTTAAACCAATTTCTGTGCATACATTCATCGAAATAACTGTAAATCATAGTGTTTCTTGACCCATTCACCGTCCCGACCTTCTTTTCTAGGTGACTCCAGAAACTTTCGACGGAATTTGTATGAGTTCCATCGAAAAGATTAATGAAGTCGTCCGTATGATTGACCACGTTGTGAATGTAACCCAGGGATGACAGTTGGCTGTAGCTACTCCACTGGTCTGAGTGAATGGTTGTGCCAGCTAGGACGAAACGTTGGATAATAGGTAATAAAACATTGGCACTACGATTAGGCATCGTCTGGATATATCCTTTCCACAGGATGGTGTCATATAATCCCAAAACCCACTGTTAATTAGCACTCAATTCTACCGTTTTCACCCTTCCTATGAGCCTGTTATCCAAACAGTACTCAAATACTAGATCTAGATGAACTTTGCTACGTAATTCATGTACAGCATCCATAATTGTGCCAATATACTACGGTCTCATCTGATTGGTTGCCCAAGGTCATTAATCCGTTCATTAAGTAGTTTCACTTTGGGCTTCTATAGTTTAGTTTATATGTCATGCACATAATTAATGAATTTATGCACAGAACTGTGTATCCACTACAATTAAATATACACAGACACAGCACAGAAAAAGAATGCTGAGAAATACTTTACATAAAAGTTGTATACAATTTATCCCTCTCTTATAACAACCTTTATGCTCAGATCACCTGGAATAAAACCACTCATTACATACAAGCCAACAACAACCACAACAGCGCTAAAGTAATCCTGAATGTATTTAACAAAAAAAAATGGACTAACCTGAAATTCCAATCAGAAACAAATCGATATATCCAACGTTTCAATTCATTCACTAATCTTTGCACAATATATGTTAGTTCAACTGAAGGAAAGAAGAAGAGGTGACAAGTAGATATGAATGTCTGTCATAAGTAGTAAATAAGGATCAATGAATACGACCGTTCAGTTTTCCAGTGTCATAATCAGAACATTATTAGTACAAAAATAATCTTTACAAATGAATGTTATACAAAATAATAATACTTTGAGCAAAATTCTGTATTCTCGTCAGCCTCTACACTTATAAATCCACAAAAAAAACGGCGAACTCATATCTGGTGTAAAGCATGTAATATAAATCTAAATGCTCTTAATAATAACCATTTCTGAACGCTATTCAGCAATGAATATTTTTTCATTGTGCGTTGAAGTTTCTGCCAAAGCCAGAATCGGGAAGGTAAGATACGCCTTCATCAACTTGAAGCTAGTTTGGAAATCTTCTGCGCTCAGGCGTACAAACAAAAAGATTAGGATTTCCAGTGTCAATTCGGTCCTTCTGTACGACTCGGAAACTTGCACTGCGTGTCACGGAAAGGATTTCCAACAGGCCAGTGCAAACTCTTATTAGCAGCTAACACCTTCACGAGCTCCATATTGAGGATCAGATGGCTAACCGGTTAGCCAAAAAGAATTAGCAACAAGTAACTATGGGAACAAACTAAGAACCTATCGTTCAACAAATATGTGGGTGAAAATGGAGATGGATAGGGCATACATTGAGGAGGCCGTCGAATGACAGCGCACGCCAGACCCTCGAGTGGAACCCGAATGAGAAACGACGAGTGGGTCATCCAAGGGTGACATGGAGGAGATCGTGTGAGGAGGAGAGGAGAGATTATAGGCAATCGTGGACTCAGCTGAAGAGGATGGCAGAAAAAAGAACAAAGTGAGATATAGGAACAACTGGGCAACAATTCTGACCTAGTTCGGACTATTCCGTAATAAGCATCAATTTTGTCCCAAAAGAAATTGAGTTCATGACTGTCAGATTGCAGGCTGAGTACACTAATTTTTTTTATCCACTGGTTCAGGATGCAATGGTATTTATTCAGTTTTGGAAACATTTGCCTGATTCTAACCCGAAAGTAAGCCTACAAATAATTTCTATTACTTTATTCAGAGTACATGGAAATCTCCTAAGAATTGTATGGATAAATGCTCTAAGAAGCCATCAACAGTTCTACAAATGTCAATGTCTGAAACATTTGTCGGGAGAATATAAAAATTCCTTCATGGTATATATTTCTGGCCGAATGTTGCTAAGATGTTCAAATACCTAGGACTTCGGAAACTCCTTGGTGTTAGTGAAGCTTTTATAGTTGATCGTCAGTGTTTTATCGTCCTCATTATGCGCCTCAATCTTCTCTGTTATTTCAGAGTGAGAATTTACTTGAGCAAGAATTCGAATACAAGTGTGCTCCAAAGTATTTTAATCACTTATCACCAAACTGGATGCGTAAATGTATGTTTAGTAATCCGTTGTAACAGTATCCACCAACTGCAATCTACCGGAGTAGTAGTCCATTCATTTCTACAATCCAGTTAAGCGTATATACCCAAATTTTTTACTGTTCATTGCATTTCTGTATTGATTCACATATTACATCATCCAAGATACGACGTGAACACATACAAGCCTGACAATCATACTTGCATTTGCATTTATAAATAAGTATGCACTTTTTTATATTACTCCACACTTGTGTGTGAATACATAGTTATAAAGAAACAAACTAAATATGTTATGGAGGGCAGAGTATCAATAGTGCATCGGTAGCACAGTGGTTAGGACTCTCGCCAACTATGCACATGGTCCGGGGTTCGATGCCCTGCCGACGCACACCCGATATCGATGGTTGGCCTATAAAATTTGGGCTACCGATATCCATGCAGAAAATTCCATACTTGTACTGAAAATACTGTGTGGAATCAAGCTGTAGCCAAAAAAAATGAAGGTATCCAGTAATTGACTAGGTTGGCCTGATCCATAGGATTATATATATAAGCTAGAATACTAATACATTTACTATAGTGAACCAGAATAGACTAATAGCATGCCTGATACTATCAGATATCATAATTTGACAACTGCAGATAACTAGCAACCACCTTCCTACTTAACACTCATGTGCAATTTTTTTATTCCTCTACATTCCCAGTGGAACATAGGGCTTCAAGCTAGCGACTTGAAGTTTCTGTAGCAGTGGTGATTATTTTCACAGGATGGGGTTGCTAGCCTCATGCCCAACCTTCCCTCTTTACCAGTCTCACTATTGGCTTAGTGATGTAAAGGAGTGCGTCAGCCGTGGATTGAACCCCGGACCATCTGCGTGGTTGGCGAGCACTCTATCGCTGTGCCACCGACGCACAATATATAGCACTTATATGTAGCATTAAAACAGCAGTGGAAAAGCACAGTTTCCACTCTGTTGGTTCATTAATAAAGTTTACTATCACACTAATCGAGAAAAAGACATACCAGGATTTAAGTTGGATGCTACTCTCATCCAATCATGATATTGAATTCCATTCTGTGTAACATAATGCATTCCGGTTGTTTCTCCACAGCTGTTATTATCACTAGAAATACTGTTCGAGTGATTTCGTATAGCCTGCTGTTCTGATTGACCACCGTTAAGATCTGAAGTCAGTGCAGAATCGGTTTGATTTACATCTAATACAGCTGATTGCTGATCAGTTAAATTCATCATAGTTTCACAGTTGCTTTCACTAGCCGAAACATGTGATTTAGAACTGATGTCCACTGGCTGCAGGGCAATTGAGGCTAAATTGTGTAACACAGGCTGTGACATATCCGAGGTATGATTATCTTGTTTCTTCAAAAGTTTCTCATCATGCTGATAACCATCGTCTGGATAGAGAAGAAAATTTAAAAATTCCGATCTTTCATCCATTAGAATGCGACTAGAATCAGACTGTAAAACGAAAAGATGGGGGAAAAAGAATAAAAGAGGCGAATAGGAAAGCAGTTATGCACGAACGAATTTTAATTACGTCTATTGCACAGGGCACACACATCCATGAAATAGAATTTACAAAATATTACAAATCATATACAACTATCGAATGAATTAAACCTGATATCAAGTCACCTATCAGTAAAACTCGAAAACTGTACGCGCAAATATTAACTGGTAGGACAAGCATTTATTCCAAGTTATTGAGTCAATTAGACAACCCTTGAAAATTGTTTCATCCTATTTAGGTGATCTTTAATAACTCAATCAGACTAGGAAACAACCCCGTTATAATTCAACTGGTCGGTCGGAATCCAATAGCCTGTGTTCTAACTCCCAAGAACTTGTGATACAGCCCCACCACCATTAACTAGATGTCACCAATGAAAACCTATCATCAAGTCCTACACAGATGACAACCCTTATTAGAACTTCTTACTAGAAATGGAGGAAATCAATCTCATGAAGCACAGTGAGCTATTTACTCGAATTCACCTTCAAAATAAAAAACCCGCGATCAATAATGAATACCTTAGATATAGAATTCTCGAAGCAAAAATGGGAAGTCACCACCATTGGAATCCATAATGTTGTATTTGTAAAGACAAACGCCCCTCAATGCCTTGAATACAGATAGTGCTATTCTGCTAGTTGGTCGGAGTTAGAAATAATGACTTACTAATTTAGGCGATAACGTAACCCCCCTGTGGACTGACTCTCTTGTCCACGATTTTTTATAAGGTCCAGTGAGACACATTTTGGGATGTAGGATGGGTCGATTATTTATTAATCCTGGATTTTTAATATTTCTATCTTTTTATAAGTTCGCAAAATAATTTACTTCAAAATTAACCAAATTAACAAAAACTCATCTCAAATAATTAAATCAGCATCCTGTATTCATCATAGATGAGATGAAATGGTTATGTTGAAATATGCTGAATAATTGAACATATGTCAGATCTAGATATGGTGTAAGTAAGAACGAAAATCAACTAAATTCAAAAGACTTTAGCTTCTCCTTTGTGTTTCTCCCTACATGACAATCGAACCAAGTATAAGAGGTAAACACTGTGCGCAACTCAATTTCTAAAGACCTAAGATTCTTTCCGTTCGATCACGGCTAAATCACGCTCACCTAAATTTATCAGGACATACCTAACTAAGGGATTTTCAGTAAGATTCAAAGCCTAAGTAGTTCACATAAGCAACTCTCTTAGACGTAATCCTGTTGTAAAGATATTGACTCATTAAACACAGGTAAGTCGTAGGGAAACTATGAAGAATAAGTTACAACGGAAATATTATTCAGTTAATGTAATGTAAAGGGGAATGCCGAGAAAATACATTGCACTGATCAAGTCACTCTGCTCGAACTCATTCAGCCAGGCGAGGGCTTACGGCGAGTTGTCATCTGAAGTGGTGACAACTAGTGGTGTCCGTCAGGGATGCGCATTATCCCCATTTCTATTCAATTTCATTATAGATGTACTAATGGACTTAACCCTAACTCACTTCAGAGACTCAGGGATTGACTTCCTACCAGGGAATAATCTCGTTGACTTAGAATATGCAGATGATATAGTCCTTCGAGACGAAGACGCTGACAAAATGCAGAGTCTTCTGAACACCTTGATCAGCAGCAATCTTCGAATGTTTGGCATGTGATTCGCTCCCGCCAAATGCAAGATGATGCTACAGGACTGGATTACACTGACTCCTACCTCAGAAATATGAGTGAATTGGTTGGTACAGCGTGTTGACCAATTCACTTATTTGGGAAATACCATCTCTGACGAAATCTCAGCACGGGTACAGAAAGCTAGCTTCATATATGCCAGTTTACGCCGTCTCTGGCTTAGACGTGATATCCGACTATCGACTAAAGGACGCGTGTACTGCTCACCAGTCCTCTCCGTCCTCCCTTATGGTTGTGAGACCTGGCCATTAACAGTGGAAGACATGAGAAGGACGGCTAGCTGTCTTTGATCATAGGTGTCTGCGTTCTATCTCCCGTGTGAAGTGGTATAATAAGGTGAGCAATATCGAGGTTAGGCGTCGAGTGCCAGGTAAGGAGGGGAAATCAATCGACGAGGCTGTGAAATTACATCGACTGAGGTGGTTAGGACATGTGTTACGTACGCCTAGTCATCGCCTCCTCGACTGCCAGGCAATGTTAGCTGACACAGAGTCAGGCTGGGAAAGAAATGGCGGCGGTCAAACTAAAACATGGCTTCATCAGTCAATGAAGTCCACAACAGTTAGTTTAAGCCATCCACGTAAGCAGGTGTAGACTTCCTGACTGGTTGGGGTCCTCGGAACGGTAAAATCCAATGGCTGGAGACAATTGGTGATATGGCTCAAAGTCGTTCTCAATGTCTGGCGCAGATGCATCCACTCCTTGTGACTTATGATTTCCAATGAAACTGTTTTGTTCTTCGTTATTACTACTCCTTTGTCTCACACCTCTGTTTACTGTCTCTATTATGCATTTCTTCTATTTTCTTCTCTTGCTTTGTGTGCTACATGGAGTGTGGCGACTTGAACTTCTGCACATATGTGCAAAGTTCTATGTCGAAAACAGACAGACAGTGTAATACATACAATAAACTAATTATTGGGAAAAATCTGTGTTACCACAGCTTCTCATTTCTACTCTGAAATTAATACTGCATACATAAGAGTGCATATACAAGACTACCATGTTAAGCTGTTCTAGTTCATAATATTAATTGGAGAACATTTCCTTTCGAAAAATACAAACAGATAAATGAAAATGACAATAAACATTCCCTTACTTCGAGAACTTTTAGATAAGCTTCAAGCATGGCAGATAATTCACAAGATATTGTCTCATTTTGTAGATTGGCAATGTGACATTTAATTACAGTGTGTATAGTATAGTATCTATTAAAGAAATAAGACAATTTTTATCAGAATTAGTTAGTGTAAAAATTTCATAAAACATTTAGTAAAAAAATTCTTCTAAACGTAAAAATAAATGTGTTCATAGGCGTTTAAAATTCTTTTTGTTCATCAGCTCCGTTTTCAGGTAAAAGAATAAGAATCACATGAATATTCTTGAGTTTAACGATCTAGTAGAGCATATTTATTCGCTAATGTTGACAGGAGAAACGAATTAGTTTAGCTGTTGACTACAAATCAACTTTTGATGGTTGGTCATCCGTATTCTCCGTTTAATTTTCGTGCGATACAATATGGTCAATTATGATGAGATTAGGCAAAACGTGTTACTTAAGGGGGGGAAGTCGATCAATAAGGTTGAGATGGCTAGGATATGCATTACACATGTCCAGCTACCTTATTTCTTGACCAGAAACGTTAACTGAAATAGGATTAGGCTGGAAAAGGGTGGTCAAATGATAAAATGAAACAAATCCATGACGAAGTCATTAACTGTTGGATCAAATCATGTAAGGAGGTGATGACATTCTTGGGATGCTAAGGTTCGACAGTCTGAGACTGTTAGCGACATGATTCAAAGACGTACACAGTAGTCACCTCTTTCATTTATATAGGCAGCATCTGAACTGCAGACAGACTGTCTGTCTGTTTTCAACATAGAACTTTGCACTGATGTACAGCAGTTCAAGCCGCCACACTCCATGTAGCACACAAAGCAAGAGAAGAAGGTAGAAGAAATGCAAAATAGGGACAGTAAACAGGGATATAAGACAAAAGGAATAGTAATAACAAAAAAAATATATAATTTTATTGGGTATTATAAATCACAAGGAGTGGATGCATCTGTGCCATTGAGAACTGCAGACAGAGGCACGGATGAGGGTGCTAAAGCCAGTATTGGAAAGCCAAGACACACTTTTATCATTATAAAATTAGTGTGGAAATCTGCTACATTCAGCATAACGAACAAGAGCCGGATCCCCAACACGGATGTTAAATCACTGTTTCTATATCATTTACAGATTTGGCGTGCCACCAGAAGCATTTCCAACAGCCTGTTGTAGACTTTCACAAACAGCTGACTGGGTACTGAAGACAAGATGGCCAACCAGGAAGCATTAGCAACAAAAAACTCCGGTAATGAATCATCCAAGAACTTATTGCTCAATAATAAATATTTCAAAAAAATGGAGATCGATCGGACACACACTGAAGAAATCACTGAATGACATCATACACCAGGCCCCTGAGTGGAAACTGAATGGGAAACAACACGTTGGGCTTCCGAAGGTGATATATAGAGGAGACCACGTGAGCAGGAGATGAGAGCTCATGAGCAATCGTGGAGTTAGCTACACAAGACTGCAGGAAATAGGGCGAAATGGATATGTGCTGCTAAAGCCCTATTCTATTCAGAAAACAAAGGGTATAATAATTTATAGTAAATAACACGTTAACACTAATGATCTATGCTTTACAGTACGGTCTGTAAACATTGAATCGGGTTCAGAATGCTAATTAAAAGGACATTGAGGCTGAAAATAATTGACTTACTTTGTTAAAACTTCAGATGCTTCTGTAAACAGATAACTTGGTAAAGCAACTGATTTGCGTAAGTTAGTAGTTGTAGTAGTAGCAGTAGTACCAATTTTCGGTTCCTGTACTTGTCTGTTTGATACATTATGAGATTGATTAGTCACATCTGCACTCTCAGTACGGTTACAGCATGTACTATCATTTGTAATTGACTTATTTTCAACAGACGATTGCCTTGTATGTGTAACAGAACTATTATTATTATTATTATAACTGTCCAACTTTGGGATATTGATTTTAGCTGGGAAAACACGAATCTCACTAGGAGGCATTACAATTTCATAAACATTAACAGGTTGATATCTGCCAGTATAAAAGGAGTGATAAAATAACACATGAAAATAAATTAGTCAATAAGTTTTAAAAACCCTACATAAAAACAATTAATAATGCTAAAATGTCCTTCTAAATGAATGGATTTTACAGTTGACTAAAATAAATTTGTGCAGAATTTCTTTAAAATAGGTGACTTTAATACAGCTCATTGGTTTGATCATAAAATTCTAATTTATTCCGTTTAAAGGCTAACTTCAGAAACACCTTCTAATTGTTACCGTCTTGCAACCATAACAACACAGCTATTTTGATGTAGTTTTGTAACGACAGAAGACGAGGGCCAGGCAACAGATCCTTTATTAAGGAAATCAAGAGGTATTTATAGATTTTTATATGCATTATTATTCGTTATTACTAGCAGAGAAACAGCGTCTTGTGATTGGTCGTTTTCTCACTGGAAGTTATTCTGTCATCTCTTTGTGGCCGTTTCTTTGAAGGTCAGACCATATATCTGCT